GGGCACCCCGGGCACGGCTCCCCGCCTCCCCGCCTCCCTGCGGGCCAAGGACCCCGACCCCGGTCATCTAAGGCACGGAGGCGCGGCCCCCGGGGCTGACTGCCTTGAGCTCCCGCACCGCTCAGGCCTCCACCCTCCCGAAAGACGGTGAGGAAGGAACTGTGGCCGCACCTGGGGGAAGGACCCCGCACACACTGATGCTGCAGACGAACCCTGCGGGCGGTCCTCCCTCGCCGCCCGCACCCTGCCCCCCACCACGCGCCTGCTTGCAGAACGCCCCTCCCTCCCGCCGCGGGGGTCCCATGCCCCGGGGGTGGCGCCTTCCCGCGTGGTCAGCGCCCCAAACTCCCACTCGAAGCGACACCTGTCACGGGGAGAGAGGAGCCGCCGCCAGCCCTGGTTTTAAAGGTGAAGATGGAGGCCAGAGCCCTAGGAACCAAGACCGGAGTTTTCAGCGAGCGCTTGCTGTCCGGCTGCTGCGAGTCTGACGGCTACTTGGGGAGCGCTGAAGTTTCAGCGGCCAGAGTCACCAGCTAATTCCAGGACTGGTTAGGGGGCACCTCGATGGCAAGCCTGTGGCCAGGTACCTAGGGGCCCCCTGGAAACCCACACTGCTGCCACCAAGGCGTCACAGGAGAGGTCTCCCACCTTGGCACCTCTGGGGAGCCAGGAGAATCATGTCCACTTCATTGAGGGTCCTCAGCACAGCACCCCTTGGGGAGGTGGCCACAGCCCAACCTACTGGCCAGGCCAGGGGTTCCCAGGATGGGCCCGTCCTTCCCAGGGGAGGGTTGGCACGATCTCATGCCATCCCGATGAACTGCCAGCAAGCCTCAAACAGAAACGCTTCGTTCATTCCTGGGAGGGGCAGGTCTATCCAGACTTCCAGGATCAAGGTGCAGGGCGCCTGAAATCCCTCACCTACCCGATTTTTTTTTCAATGCTGGGAAATGAACCCAGTGACTAACAGTGAGCCCTAGCCTCAGCCCTTTTTCTTTTTAAACCGTGGCAGTTTTACATTTATTAAAGGTAAGAATAAAAAACAGGCTCTGCAGAGCATGTTTGGGCCAAGTAAAATCAGGAGAAAGGGAGGAAAAAAATGTTTAAATACACCCTACAGCGTAGAGTGGGCTCCTGTGAAGACATAATAGCCCCGCCCATTGTTTATCTTTTATTTGGAGACAGGGTCCCCCGAAATTGCCCAGGCTGGGCTTGAACGTGTGATCCTCCTGCCTCAGCCTCCCAGAGTGCTGGGATTGTAGGCATGCGCCACCACTGTAGACAGATGTTGGATCAGCACTCCCAGGCCACCTGCAAGGGGCCAGGCTGAGAAGCCAAAAGGCCACATCCATCAAGGTGTCTTCCAGTCACTGCCTGGGAAGGGCCGGCCAGCTCTTGCCAAGCCGTCTTCTGTACAGGAAAACCCCAAAGCCCCCCACATGGCCACCTCCACTACCAGCTCCTAGTGCCTCCATGATGGGCCTGCCCTTCCCAAGTTCCTGTGCCGTTAACCTTGGCTCCACACCTGAGGAAGCAGAGATATCCTTCAAAAAAGAAGAGCTCCAGCTGCTTCATTTTCAACGCATTGAGTGGAGACGTTCGTCACTCACAGTGTCCTTTCTACCCTGTTCTTCCTGATCCCTGCAGCTGGGTAACATCAGCCAGAGACCAAGGCAAAGCAAGACAAAAACTGGGAGGGTCAAGAGCTGGATGTGGTGGTGGCTGGCGCACATCTTTAACGCCAGCACTCAGGAGGCTGAGGCAGGTGGATCCCTGGGAGTTTGAGGCCAGCTGGAACTACAGGGCAAGATCTCAAAAAACACAAACCAAAAAATTGAATGGTAGAAACAAATGGGCTTTGACCAGCATGGTGGGCATGCCTATAATTCCAGCACTCAGGAGGCTGAGGCAGGAGGATTTCTGAGTTTGAGACCAGCCTGGGCTACATAGTTCAAGGCCAGCCTGCACTACAAAGACCCTGTCTAAAAAAAAGAAAGAGAGAAAAGAAAGAAAGAAAAAAAAATAACACAAATGAGCTTTGGATGAAAAACTCCAGTAACCTGTAAAAGAGAAGTCCTATTATTGTTAAAATTATTAAATGTCCAAGGCCGTTTTCATGACAGTGGACCCAAAATGCCTGCTGTGTTAAAATCCAGCCCTAAAAAGGTGAACATTCAATAAACCCTGACGTTCTGAGAACAAGCCAGTCACTAAAGGGGCTGGGGATTTAGCTCAGTGGCACAGTGCCTGCCTGGCAAGCACGAGGTCATGAGTTCGATTCCCAGTACCGGGACGGGGAAGGGGAGGAAAAAAAGTCTGCCACTAAGGATACAGTTTGAGAAGATGAGGTTCTCATCTTTGCTCATCACAGAGCTTAGTGAACCTCAGTGACAATTCAAAAATCAAACGTTTTCTTAAATGTTGGTTATAAACCGGGCGTGGTGGCACACGCCTGTAATCCAGCACCCTGGGAGGCTGAGGCAGAGGCAGAGGCCTGAACTGGAGCCCAACCTGGAAACTAAGTGACCTAGCAGAACCGTGTCTCAGAATACAAGAGAAAGCTGGTGTGCAGCTCAGCGAGAAGGCCTGGGTTCGATCTCCAGTGCCGACATTAGGTATGCGCGATCAAGAACAAGGCTTCTTCCCAGGAACGGAGCTGCAGTAGTAGCCGATCACTATCGGCCTCCAGTCCTGCGCGGTCCGGGTCCTGCCTCAGGCAGCTCACCCACCGAGCCCAGTGCTGACCATGTGGCCAGGCTGGGACCCAGCCTTCCGGGGCGCCTCCTGCTCCACGGCGGGCAGCCCTGAGACCCAGCTCCTACTCAAGCCTCTCCCCAGGGTGGGCCTCGCACAAACCACCTGGGGTCTCGGGAGGTAGGAGCATCTCAGCAAGGGAGCCTTGAGCCAGGGCCAGGAGGCGGGCTCCTGGGTTTCAGCACTGCGGCAGCCAGCACACCCGCCAGGTTGGCAGAGTCCGAGACCAGGCAGCCAACGGAGCCCGAAACACACTGGAGCGAAGTAATATGGATTCCCAGACTCGCCCAGACGGGAAGACGGCTGCATCAGAACGTCTTGGGTTCCGTTTTGTTCTGCTCCAGGAGAGAGGCACCGTGAGGGCATCAAAGGAAAGGAAGTCCTCTGCCTTCCCTCAGCAGGACCTCCTGCGGGGTGCACAGGTGCCCCACACGGGCAGCCTCCACCGCCGGCCCTAGTACAGACCATCTCCACAAACACGGGGCCCACATCCTCAGTCCCCTCCTTTGCCCATTCACACCGGCCAGGCGTAGGGGGCGAGCCAGGAGTCTAAGAAAGCAGGTACAGCTGGGAATGGTGGTGTGTACCTGTAATCCCAGCACTTGAGAGGATGAGGCAGGAGGATCACAAAGCCCAACCTGGGCAACTGAGACCCTATCTCAAAATTTTACAATACAGGAAAAAAAGGGCTGGGGAATTAGTTCAATACAAAGGCCCCAGATTCAATCTGCCACACCAGGAAGAAGTTACAGAAGGGGAGGTCTGCAGGTTTCAGGAAGGGAGACGAGTACCTTTAGAAATGTCTACACCCTGGCATTTAGGGGCCTCTCACTTCCTCGCTGCCCCACTCCCAAGGGAAGCAGGGGGCATTTTTGGCAAATGGTGCTGGCAGGAACAAGCCTATGTGGCCATTCTGTGAGTTTTATGAACTTAAATCATAGCTTAAAACTCCACAGCTCCAAAGCCAGGTGTGTGGTGGCGCACATCTGTAATCCCGGCACTCTGGAGGCTGAGACAGGAGGATCGCCACAAGTTCAAGGTCAGCCTGGGCTACGTAGGAGAGACACTGTCTCAAAAACCCTCCACAATTCAAGTTTCTGGGCCCTAACCTTTGACGGGCCGGTGAGGCGTGAGGACTGACTGCCAGAGGAACCGAGGTCTACAGGATGCCCTGGACACAGACAGTGCCGGTGTGATGGAGCTCAAGTTCCCGACACAGTCCCCTCAGAAAAGGCACGGGCCTCCCAAGCCGTCCTGGAACTCAGCTGCTGCCAGCTCCAGGATCTCAGAGGCAAAACTGCAGAATAAAGAAAACAGAAATAAAGGACCTATTGTCCCCTCTATCTAAGAAAGAGCGAGGTGCTTCTCAGCAGAGCAATTCAGAGTGAGGACGAAGTTTAACAGATTAACATGCCAGTCCTTTAAGAAACAAGGCTTGCACAGTAGTAGCCATGTGTTAGCCACTTTAATATAAAATGTGATCAAAACCCAGTTACAAGAGTTCAAAAAGGCATAGAAAAAACAGTAAGTTTCAATTTTATTACAAGTCTTAAAATCTGGGACCAGTTTTTTTATTTTTTAAAAAATGCTGAATTCAGCCCAGGATTCTTTTTTACAACCAAACTAAAAATTACCACATAGGAACATCAACGCAACAAGTAAAATTTGCAAATCCAAACCACAGATTTACAAAGTTAGTATCATGGTAAGGACACAGCCCAAGACAACCCAGCAACCCCCCCACCCCCACCCCCCGCAGGTTTGAAAAGAATCCTGCCTTCCGAGAGGGCGAGTCTGCAAGCAATTCTGCTTCAAGAGATTTGCATAGAAACAGAAGATGCTAGAGCCTTTGCCACAGGGGAAACGGCAAAGCCCTGACCTGTGTAGTTCAACCCCAGAGGCACATGTTAAACTGCAGCCCGGGCAGAACTTAAGCATTTCATCTCCGGTGGAGATGAGCTGTCAGCAAGCTCTAAAAGTGTTAGTTTTCGTACAGCAGAAGTGCTTGGATTTCCGAAGGCCGCCCCCGGGCGCAGGACTCTTTGGAGTCACCCTCATCGTCTTCACCTGACACAAAACCACAGTGGAGGCTGGTTCTCAAAGGCCCATCGGCCCGTTTATAGGTCGCTTTAGTTCCTTCTTGCTGGGGTGGGCATTGAACCCAGGGCCTCGAGTGAAGCAGTCACTGCTACTGACCTACCACCTCAGCTGTGTGTAGGCCTTTTGACAGGAGGGCCACCTGGGGACTGAAGCGGCACAGGGGTGTCCTGGGCAACTCCTAACCTCCCACTCCTCCTCTTGCCCCTCACACGCCCGGAGCCCTGGGCTTGGAGGCTCCCACGAGGCCTGGGGAAGCCCTATCCGGAAGCTCGGCCGCTGTCTCTAGCGCCCCCTGCTGGACACCGGCATGGCAAAGACTCGCGGAAGCCGTGGTTTACACGTTCATTTCTGTGCACTTACTCCAGTAACGCCCAGGACCTCCACAACTGCCCTCGAACCCTCTTACGGAGGGCAGGATATGCCAGAAGGCTGAAGGCTCGCATCTTCTACAGGAAGAAAAAAGATTGGCATACATAACTGTGAGCATCGAGTAATCTGGAATTAAAAAGCAGACGAATGTCCCAGAAACCTGCATCTCCTTGACACTGCCATTTTCCTGGAAAGAATCACCTATTTTGCTTTCGATGACTGAGGAGCCACGTGTTATAGTCCTGAGTCTTCCTCTGAGTAGAGGATCACATTCAAGTGAAGGTGGTGGTTACATTTTTTTAACATAGGCCAAGCCAGCTCCCACCTCCACGCCCTTTCCCACGCCTGCGCCTGCGCGGACGGTCTCCTTCCCTCGGCAGCCTCCTCCCGACAGGCGGGCAGCACTACAAGAACTGCGCACTGCAAGCAGGAGAAAGAGTCTAACTGTCAGGGAGCGGCGCCCGGGGCAGCCCGCCGCCGTGACCGCAGGTTCCCTTCAATCCGCACTGCAGAGATACAAGGATAAACCACCGTTTTGGTTCCCAAGTTTTATTCAACAACTCATAAAAAATATTCCAGACAAAGGAGTTTTAATCCTCATCTTCCTCCTCCTCTTCATCCTGGTTAATCTGGAAGTAACGTAATTCGTAACTCTCTTTGCTGTTAGCAACTACGCGCAACCAATCGCGGAGATTATTCTTCTTCAGATATTTTTTGGTGAGATATTTCAAATACCTGCAGAGAGAGGACACTTGAGAACTACACTACACAGATGGCCTTACATTCTCAACAGTTCAACTTTCTCATCCCCGTTTTCAGACAGGATCCCTGCTGTGTAGCGCAGGCTGGCCTCCAACTCCAGGCCGGCAGTGGCAAATCCAAGGCCTGCAAGCCGCAGCGAGCTGTCCGTACCATGAGAGCTCTCGAAGGCTCGCCATCACTGCTCTAGGCGATCCTCCTACCTCAGCCTCAGCATTTCAACTTTCATAAACCTGTGACAATTCAAGACGTTCCCCCACCTTGCCAAAACAACAGAGATAAACGAACACACCCAGCAGTGCTCTAAGAACAAACTTCGGCCACCCAGCACCTAAACTCGCAATAAAAATGAGCACCAAGCAGACCTGGCAGCGCCCTGGAGAGAGCTTGTGGTGCCGGACAGGGCCGCACCGACCTCACGCCACCCAGCTCTCACCAGCTAAGGTGACACCACAGCCAGAGTGGACTCTCGGCTGTTACGCACATGCTCACACTTGCATGTGACGGTCACTATCCAAACTTAAGGACAGTATCCCCTGCAAGGCCTTCTCTCCAGCAGCGTTCTGGTTTTCAGGCTGTTTTTCTCCTTTTTGAGTAGATCTGATTTTATGGCCCAGGCTGTTCCCACTCTTGGCCTCAAGCAACTCTCCTGCCTCAGCCTAATGAGGAGCTTAGACTAGAAGGGCACGAAACCTTGGGGATTTAAACGGAGGTTTTTGGCTCTGCTTGCTTTTCTGAGCTGGCAGGGTGGAACTCAGGGCTCAGTGCACGCTAGGCAAGCACTCCACGAGGAGACGGGCCCCAACCGTGGCCCTATCTTCCTACTCTAACTGCCGCCTTGGGTTGGTGGGCCCTGATCAGTCATAGGAAACGGTGCTGCTGCTCTGGGGGCAGCAGCTGGCTCTGTGGCCAACATCCCATCTGCAGCAGGCTCACAGGAGCCTGCGCTGCATTCCTTCTCCCACCCGTAAAAGGGAGCAGGGGCCGCAGCGCCACACAAACTCTCGGCCGGCCTCGGGTTCCTCAGTGCAGCGTGGGCCTGAAATCTCACCATCTCTTTAGCTGCTGGGGAAACTACACGAGCTGCCCAGAGATGCTGGCCTAGGAGCAGGGACCCCAGTCGGGCTCCCACGAGCCAGGTGCCGCGGAGCGGCCAACGCAGCCTGTTTTGGCTGAGGGGCTCTGCTCTGAGACCCGCTCCCTCCTGCCCAGTCAGCCACGTGCTCACTCACTGAGCACGCGCTCTGCGGTCACTTGTGATTTCTGTCGCACTGTATTCCGCAGAGGTGCTTCACCCCAAACCTCAGGCAATCTGACGCTTCTCAGAATGTTAGGAAAAGCTCAGAAGTTCCGGGACAAGGCAAAACTGTAGATTAGGAAACAGCCCTGCATGTTTCAGGAAAATAAAACTAGTGTCAAAAGAAAGGAGCCAAAACAGGTGGTGCACACCTGTACTCCCCGCATGGATTACGTGGGTTACTTGGAGGCTGAGGTAGGAGGGCCGTACATTTGAGCCCAATGTGCACAACGTAGCAAGACCCTGTTCTGAAATGAGAAAAAGGAGGACGAAGCTTTGCTCAAGGGCTCAGGTCCGAGCCCCAGCAGGGCCAGAGGGAGCGGGAAGTCGTGTGAGAAGACCGCAGCTCCTTTGCTGGGCGAAGAGCAGACAATCTGTGAACACGGGAGGGGGCGGGGCAGGCAGGCTCCGTCCTCGCAGCACACTGGTGAGGAGCCCTCCTCACGGCTCCGCTGGCTCAAACCCACAAGGCTGTGCGCCCTGGAAAGCCCAGCTTCGAGTGTCTTCCTCTGTCAAAGCCCTTTCCCAGCAGATCAGGAATGCAGGCGGCCAGACACCTAACAGCGGCTCCTCACCTTCAGCTACGGCACACCTTACACGACAGCCGGGGTCCTGGCACAACTCAAAACCACCCTCTGTCCAATTCGGCATAGGAAAATTCTCTTGTGCCAGGCCCTGGGCTGGGAGAGGGGTGTGAGCCTGCCCAACCTGTCACGTGACTGTAAAATCATCCACCCACCTCCTTCTCAGTGCTGCACCGGGACCGAATCAGGCCCTCAACTCAGCTACATCCCCAGCCCTTTTGTATTTTATTCTGAGCCAGGATCTTGCAAAGTCACAAAATTAAAAACTGCCCAGGCTAGGATCAAATTTGTCACCCTCCTGCCTCAGCCTCCCAGCATGCTGGGACAATAGGTGTGCACCGCCAGGCCTGGCTGGACTTGTAAAGCCTTTCAACCTCACCCTCATGGATGGAGGAGGGACAGAATTAATACCTCTCTCTGGAGAAGAAAGAAGACAGGAATCACAGCAACTGGAGAGGCTTCAGTCTAAACTGAGACTTCTGATTCATTGTCCAGAGCCATAGTAACCCTTACATCAGGCTGGGTGTGGCGGCACATGCCTGGAATCCCAGCACTTGAGAGGCTGAGCCAGGTGGATTGCGTGAGTTTGAGACCAGCCTGGGCTACACATGGAGAGCCTGTCTCAAAACAAAAAACAAAAAAACAAAAAACGAACAAAACAAAACAAAAAACAAACAAAAAAAACTCTTACAAAGAAAGTGGAATCAAAACTAAAAGCTATACCAGGAATGATGGTACACGCCTGATATCCCAGCATTCTGGGAGGGTGAAGCAGGAAGATTCCAAGTTCAAGTCCCATCTGAGGAAGTCAGCAAGAACCTGTCCCAAAACACAAAATAAGGGGCCAGGGATATAGCTCAGCGGCACAGCACCTGTCTGGCAACATGAGGTCCTGAGTTCAATTCCTGGTACCCCCCCAAAAAACCCCAAACAAAAAATAAGCCAGACATGGTTGTATAAGCCCGTAATCCCAGCATTTGGGAGGCTGAGGCAGGAAGACCACTGCAAATTTAAGAGCAGCCTAGACTATATAAGACATATCCTATCTCTAAAAAAACCCACAAAGTCTGGGCACAGTGCCATATACCTGTAATCCCAGCAGTGGGGAGACTGAGGCAGGAGGACTGCTGCAAATCTGAGGCCATTTTGAACTACACAGCAAGACCCTGTCTCAAACAAAGTAACAGATCTCTTCTCTGCCACAGGCAGGTATTTCAGTAAACACAGCCCAGGTTACACAGCTGCAGTCAAGGCCAGCCTGGACGACACAGTGAGACCCGTCTCAAAACTCCAAAAACACGAAACGAAGTGGACAGCAGGTGTGACCGAGTGCAAAGGCCCTGAGGTTACAGCTGAACAGCACCGTGCGGACACACTCGCCACTCCCTGCATCAGATGGGGGCCAGTGCTGCGCAGGCGTGACCACAGAACAGACCCCTCCCGGGCGCCCGCCGAGTGTGGGGACGGCCCCGTGTACCTTTTGGAAAAAGGCACCTCAGAAGTCACGGTGATCTTGCTCTTGCTCCTTTCGATGGTGACCACCCCTCCACCGAGATTCCCGGCCTTGCCGTTCACCTTGATTCGCTCCTGGAGAAACTGCTCCTGCGGAAATCGCCAAATCGACTGATTACTGAAGCGACCCACACCCCTGCCCAGCGGCCGGCCGCCTGTACCCCCTCCCCCACATTCAACGATGACAAGTCTTCAGGCGTCAGTCTGACATCTAGGGCAGCAGGCAGGAACAGCACCGTCACAGCACCCGGCGTGACACCAGGGAAACGGCTCCCACAGAGGGCTTGGCCGCCAGCACACGTGCGGGCCAAGGTGAAGAGCAGACAGAAGTTAGGACCGTTGCACAGGCCTGTAAGCCAGCTGTCCGGAGCCCGAGGCAGGCGTACCTCAGCCTGAGGGCAGCCTGGGCAACACAGCAAAGCCCACCTCAAGGAAAAAAGCAAAACAAAACAAAAAAACTGGGCTGCAGCTCAGCATGGAACATCTGCTTAGCATGCACGAGACCCTGGCTTCAATCCCCAGTACCACAAAAGAGTAGACAGGAAACGCAAGGCAAACTTTTGTCAAGAACAGGCAACCAGACCCAGTGTGGTGTGGACCCCTGTAATCTCAACACTCAGGAGGCTGCGGCACAAGGATGACTGCTACACACAGTTCAAGGCCAGCCTGAAATAGGTAGGTAGACCCTGTCTCAATAAGAAAAACCAACAGCCAGATGTGGTGGTGCACATCAGTAATCCCAACTCTTGGGAGGCTGAGGCAGGAGGATCACCACAAATTTAAGGCCAGCCTGAACTATATAAAAGCAAGACTCCACCTCAAAAAAAATGAGTGAAAAAACCGAGCCACTTATGAACCTAAGGAATCTTAAGCACCATTCCCAGCACTATCACAGAGAGCAGAATAGAAAGAAGAGACACAGCAAGCAGTACATTGCAGCTCTGCCCAGGCTACACACATGGTACAAAGGAGGCAGCAACCCAGGAGCCCAGACGTCAACACTCTGCGAACCCAGTGCCAGCGCAGGTCAGCTGGACCCGAGACCTGCCCTGTGTTTTCTCACCAAGGGGGTAAGGTGCGTCCCTTTCAGGGCCAAAGTCATATTCTCAGGGCTGGGGACATGGCTCGGTGGCCCTGGGTTTGAGCCTCAGCACAATGTAAAAATTACAGTTCTTTGAGCTGCAATACGAAACATATTAACTGCAGGAGGTGGTAATTAAATCAGAAATCTTTTGCACCCTTAGACACATAAATGACTTGAGCTTCCCCCCTAAGGATGCTTCTAAAACAGTGGTGGTGAACCTATGGCACGGCTGCCGCAGTGGGCACGCCAGCCAAGTCGCCCCAACAGCCGAGCATGACGTGAGGGCGCAGAAGAGCCACGTGCACGCTCAGGAAGGAGTCTCGGGCCAGGCGATGAAGCCTCAAGTAGCCTGGGCACTCGGTCTCCACAAGGCTCACCGTCGCTGTTCCAGAGGCAATTCCCACACACGTATAAGGAAATGGCTCGCAGGGAAAGCACGCAGGGAGAACACCCACGCATAGCCACCACGCCGACACAAATGGGAAGAAATGACCAAGTCAGAAGGGCAGAGAGGCCCGGAGAAAGCAGCTAGCCGCAGGCGAGGGGGAGGCTCGAGCCAACCGAGCAACTGCTCGAGGGACAGGGACATGACGGGTATCCGTGGCAGCACAAGCCACAAGGTTACCCAGTTCCACCCTGTACTGCCAGTGGCTACAGGCCAAGCGTTCACTTTTTGTGTGTGCGCACTCACAGGTGTGGGTGTGGGTGTGGGTACGTGCGTGGGTGCATGCAAGTGGAGGGGCTGGGAGGTCAAACCCACGGGTGCCTGCTATATCCCCAGCCCCCTAGAATCTAAAGAATAAACAGAGCTGAGTGTGGTGGCGCACGCCTGTAACCCCAGGGGGCTGAGGTGGGAGATCGCTGAGTTGGAGGCCAGCCTGGGCTACAGAGTGAGCTGAAGGCCAGCATGGATGCATAGTGAGACCCTGTCTCTTTCTTTTTTTTTTTTTTTCTGGTACCAGGAATCGAACTCACAACCTTGCACTTGCCAGGCAGGCACTGTGCTGCTGAGCTAAATCCCCAACCCGAGACCCTGTCTCAAAAAGACCAAAAATAAATAAATAAATAAATATAACTTTAGGTGACTCCTGTACTACTTCCACATCCCCCAAGGGCTGTGGGAGGCAGAACCAAGCTACAGAGTGAAATGCAGCCAGGAGATGATACAATTTAAGGCTGAAGTGCAGCACGGTAACATTGGGGGAATGGGCCCCGATATAGGGGCAAGAAATCAGGCCAGCTCAAGATATGAAAAAAAAAAAAAAAAACAAGCTGCAGTGAAACTCAGCAAGCAGGGTATTTTAACCGCTGAACCTTGGGAAGCTAGGGAGCCTCAGCACCCAGGTCTGAGAATCCTCAGGCCCAGGGAGTCCCAGGAGAGACTGGCGGTGGGAAGGACCCGGCACTGATGGGGAACCCACCAAGTGCAAGGGCGCCCGACAGCACCTGTCTGTCTCTCAATTTCAAGTAAAATAGTCCTTGGAAACTCTTGGAAAGGAGGTCAGGGGAAATCAGACAATTCTCCAGCACCCACATCCAGAGCCGGGGTGACTGGAAGCCCATCTTGCTGACTCCTCAGAACAGCCACCCTGGACAGTGAGCCTGAGAAACAAACAAGTAACTTGCTCACACTTGAGTTCAGTGACAAAAAACTTGAGCAGCCTGCAAGCCTGAACACAGAAATGGACTCTTAAGTTTCCTTAACAGCTTTTTTTGAGACATAACGGTCTCCTTACGTAGTTGAGACTGGTCTTGAACTCACTATATAACCCGGTCTGGTCTCCTCTTCACAGCAATCCTCCTGCCTCAGCCTCCCCAGTGCTGGGATTACATGCACGCACTACCACTCCTGCCTCAACAGCATCTTAAAAGGTCTATTCCCTCTCAGTCAGGAGTGGTGACAGGGATGTAACTTACGAAATTGGCAGCATCCATGATTCCATCTTCTACAGGGTGTGTGCAGTCAAGCGTGAACTTCAGGACTTGCTTCTTTTTTTTGCCCCCCTTTGCCGAAAGCTTTTTCTAAGAAAGTATACAGACAACAGAGATGAAGCCACAACCAGTTCAAAAAAAAAAAAAAGAAAGAAAAAGAAAATTAACGAAACCGAAAGCTTTTAGAGACACAAAAGCTCATACAATACACAATCCACGGAGATAGGATCCTTCTCCAGAGCACCAGAACCGGTGTTCTGCACAAGCACAGCAGGATCACAGAAGACCTGCTCTACACACTGAAGCGCCGTGGGAGCAGCAAGCTCGGGACCGATGAATGAGAAAATCGTCCTAGCCCTTGTCCCGTTCCATCTCTCCAGCAGCCCCACTCTCTGCAAACGGTAAGCGTTTCCCTTTGACTTGACCTAAAATTCCCGAACACATTTAGATGCCAGGATTAGGACACAGGCATCTACACGCAAACATAACTAACAATTATAGTGTGAAATCAGTCCTCCTCCTGTGTCCCCACACTAGCGTCCTTGTTCACTTCAGCTTCTCCCTTAATCCTGTCTCCCCCGGCTTCTCAGGAATAGCACGGACAAACGCACAGGATTCTGGCTGCTGATCCACTGCAGCTTGAACAAGGTTAAGCGTGAAACTCAGCGTTTTACTTTAACACCGCCGTCAACAATGTCTGGCCTTCTAACCGCCTCGCCTATGAATTAGCATTTTCAAACCACCCAACAGGGCACATCGTATGAGGTTCCGGACTAATAAAGTAGCACGCATTAGCTTTCTTCCTCAACAAACTCCTGACGGCATTAAAATAGATCTGCACAACCTGGTCACCTGTATTTTCGCCTTAAAAAGTCTGCAGAATCTGGGACTGAGGATTTAGCTCAGCGGCAAAGCGCCTGCCTGGCAAGCGCAAGGTCGTGAGTTCGGTTCCCGGTGCCGGAGAAAAACCAAAGTTTGCAGAATCTAAAAATACCTTCCCAAGCATGCATCTCACCTCCCTTCCCGTTTAAGGGAGCACCTAAAACATTTCAAACTGGGTCAACTTCTCAGACAATTAGATACTAACAAAAAAAAGTCACTTTTACAGTATCTCATGCCCGGCACAAGAGGATTACTTTAAAACCTAGCTCCCGAAACGCACAACTAGCAGGCAGACCCATCCACAATGCGCTTGGTACCTCCCATAGGTACCACGGTTTTAAACTACAAACACACAAACGCACACTCATTTACGGTCCCATCCAGGCAGAAAGACTCCAGAGAACCGGAAAGATAACCCCAGGAAATCCCAAACAAAGGAAAAAAAACAGCCTCAAAATTAACTTTTTTCAACGAATCCGAATCCGGGAGAACGGCAACCTCCAAGTCACGCGGCACGAGGTGGCCACACAGCCCGGCCAGCGCAAACTGTGAGATGCGGCCCGCGCCCCACACCGAGAAGGGCCGGCACGGCTGCACCCGAACTAGGCTCATTTCCCCAGGGCACTGGACCCCGAGCCTCTCCGAAGCCAAGCCAACCTTCGGCGGTCCGTCTTCCCTCATCGGCCACGGGCTTCCCAAGGCGCGACTCCGCCGGGCGGCAGCTAGGTCTCCCGCTCCTCCCCGCCCCTCACCTAGGTAACCAGATCCCGGGCCAGGGGCCAGCCAGGCGCGCAGCTCCGGGCTGCGGTCCCCCGCCCGCCCCGGGCAAGCGTCTGAGCTGTCGCCGCGGTTCCGAGAGCACCCCGGTCTCCCGTAAGGGCCCCAAAACGCGGCTTCCTCAGCCCACAACGTGCTGGGCCCGGCCACAGGGCCGGCCCGCCCTAACCGGCCTGCCAGTCCCCAGCTGCCGGACGCAGCAGGGCGCCATCCCACGAGTGCCTGGGCCACAGCTAGCCCAGCGACGACCACGTGCGTCCGCAAGAGCCAAGGCCTCACGCGGAGGCATACTAACCACGGGAGCCATGGCGGCCGAGGAATCAGAAAGGGAGGTAGACGCACTACGCAGACGCAAAGAGCCGCCGCACGCAAGGCACGCAGGGACCAGGCAGCACTAACAGCTCGGCCCCGCCCCTCGAGCTCACATCGCTCCCGCTTAAGGACTGTCGGCGACTGATTGGTTTTGCCTGAATGCCAAGATTGTCCTCTCCCGAGCCTGGCAGGCTGTAAGCAAGATTGGAAGCCCGGCGGACCATCCCACTGCGGCGATGGGGGGGGGAGCCAGACTGGACGAGCCCAAAGAGAAATAAAGAGGTTAGCTCTACTTTTGAAAGTCTTGGGGAACAAAAAAAAAGAATAATGAAATTCACTAAAAATTACCAGCTAATGGGATGAGACTCGAGCCCACTAACGGAGAGGTGGGGAAATCCCTTCTGGTCCGGGAAATTTAGGCGATCGATCGATCGATCGGAAGTCCCAGGGCTACAGACCACTTCAGCCTCTTCCTTCCTAAACGGTTTAGGATACTCATGCCCTGGGGCTGTGTCTTACACAGCAGCCCTCCTCCGTACAGCCGAGCACAACCTGATCGCTGCCCCTCGCTTCCTAATTTCCTAAAAGGGCTTATGCTTTTTTCTCAGTGGAACACCAGAGGATCTGATTTAAGTGCAGATTTCAGCTGGGGTCCTGAGGCAGAAAGATCAGTGTTACAGGGGTGCTAAGAACCTCCAAATATGATATTAGGGAAATGTTACAACTCCCAAGCTATTAGATGTCTGATACGCTGAGTTCGTGTTCTCTAAAAATGGAAGAATGAATTCTAGGAACAAGGAAGGTTAAGAGCAGGAAGATATTGAGAGAGATATAGCTCCCAAGAGGCAGAAGGGGGCCGGAATGGGTTGCAGAGGACCCCACTTTATAGGGAGATTTTATAGAGCAAGACCCACGTGGGTACAACATGGGTTACAGCTATGATTAGCCAGTTAGGATACAAGTATAGCCTCTTAGGTAATACTGATCCAATAGGGAAACAAGTCACATCACACGGGTGCATGGAAAGAACACAGACCTTTTCTAAGAAATGATGGGTCCGGATCTTCATTAGTTTGTGTTCGTCCTTTGTGGAAGTATATAGAACTGGTCATTTTGTCTTTATCTTGAGGCCTGGTCTCCAACAGATATGTCTCTGGTCACAGTTGAGATGTGTTTCAGCTTTGTCCCCGCTCCCTGAAGGGCCTGGCCTTGTCTGACTGCCTATAATATTTCTACCTAATTTAACTTTCTGTAATAGAAGGGTCACAATTTCCAACCCCAGCCTGAGGCTGTGATTTGTTTAAAAGTTTGGTTCAGTTCTAATATTTCTTTGTTGATTTTTTTGTCTCATTGATCTATTTGTGACAGTGGAACCAACAACAGGAAAACAACAACCAACAACAGGAATTCCCCCATTACAACTGTATTAATGCCTATTTGATTTTTTATGCCCAATAATATTTGTTTTATATAGTTAGTTGCACTGGTGTTTGGTGCATATATATTTATGACCATTATCTCTTGCTCTTGGATTGTTCCCTTTCAAAGGTTTAATTATGTCTTTTTTTTTTTTTTTTGGTACCGGAAATCAAACTCAGGACTTTGCACTTGCTAAGCAAGGTGCTGTGCTGCTGAGCTATATCCCTTGGCCCTCCCTTTCGAAGGATATAGTGATCTTCTTTGTCTCTCTTAATCAGTCTTGGCTTGAAATCCATTTGTCTGCAAACAGAATAGCTACCCGTTTCTTCCAGCTTCCTGTCACATGGAGTATTGTTTTCTACCCTTTGACTTTCAGTCTTTACATTTCTTTTTGAATTAAATGTGTTTCTTGTATGCAGCATATTGTTGGGTCTTGCTTCTTGATCCAGTCTGCCAGTCTGTTTCTTTTGATTGGTGGATTGAGACCATTAACGGATGGTTATAACTGATATATAATGACTTAGCTTTGCAATGTTATTTTCCTGTTGTTGGTTCCCTTTTCCCTCCCCCTCTGTTTAATTGCTTGCCTGACCTGGTGGATTCATTCTGTTGGGGTTCATAGAGTTGTAGTCCTTGTTACCTCTTTATAGAATATCCTTCAGAACCTTTGGAGTGCTGGTTTTGTGGTCATGAGTTTCTTCAGATGTTCTGTGTCGTGGAAATATCTTATTTCTCCATCAGTTCTGGAAGATAGTGTTGCAGGGTACATCACTGTGAGTTGGAGCTTGTTTTCTTTTATGGCTTGAAATACATCACTCCAAGTTCTCCTTGCCTTGAGGGTTTGTTGAGAAGTCTGCTGTGATTCTGATGGACTTTTTTCTTTTTTGTTTTTTTGTTTTTTCTCCGGTACCGGGAACCGAACACACAACCTTGTGCTTGCCAGGCAGGCGCTTTTGCCACTGAGCTAAATCCCCAGCCCCTGATGGACTTTTCTTTATAGGTGATTTGTTTCTTTTCTCTAACAGCTTTTAATGTTCTGTTCTTGTGTTGAATTTCTGAAATTTGACTATTATATGCCTTGGTGTAGATTATTTTTAATCATGGCTAATTGGAGTTCTACATGCCCCACTTACTGGTGTCAAATTCTTTTTCCACCTCATGGGAGGTTTTCTGCCATTACTTCTGTGAGCAGATTTTTTTATGTCATTTGTGCTATCTCTTGCTTTTTTATTGAATCAGCTCAATCTTATGTTATTCTTCTTTGCGTCATCCAGCACCTGTTGGGTTGATTTTTTTTATGGTCCCTTGCTATTTTAAAGAAATATAGCTAACTCCAATTCTATCTTCTAGGTCTGATTCTGTTTTCACATTGGCTCATTCTGCTGCATATACTTTCAATGGAATTCTTAGTCTCCTGGATATTTGCTTGAATCTGTTTCATGAATTTCATTTCTTTCCTATGTTGGGCCTTCATGATTTCCATCATTTTCCTAAGCTCCACTTTTTTAATCTGTATCTGCTATACAGTCACTATCCATGTTTTTCATTATGGTTACCATCTGTAGTTATCTGAGAAATTATGTCTGATGTGATTTTTTTCTAGACCCTTATTCATCTGCTTTGTTACTTCCATTGTTACCACTTCAGAGAGTGCAGGTATGTGGTTTTCAGATCATTCTGCCCCTTTGCCCCCTGGGTTTGCCTTTGGTGAACTGGAAGTCTAGGGTTGCATCTTATTTTTTTCAATTCAATTAAGTTTATTGGGGGGCTGGGGATTTAGCTCAGCGGCAAAAGCGCCTGCCTGGCAAGCGCAAGGTCGTGAGTTCGGTTCCCGGTACCGGAGAAAAACAAAAAAAACAAACAAAAAAAAAAGTTTATTGGTACAATTTAAGTATATATAATGATCGCATTCATCACAAAGAATTTATACCTGTAAATTATATGCACTTTGTGTGTGTGTGTGTGTGTGTGTGTGTGTTTTGGTGGGGGGGGGTTGGTACCAGGGATCTAACTGAGGACCTTGTGCTTGCCAGGCAGGTGCTTATGCCACTGAGCTATATCCCCCACCACTTGACATGCATTTTGTTTAAGTATGTTTTCTTTTTTTTAGTTTAATTCCTGGATTGATGCTTATAAATTGGTTATGGCAAGTAGCTTTATTGCTAGTATTTAGAACCCTTAGCCTACTTCTCAGAGGTGTCTTCCAGGTGTAGTTGGCCTTTGGGTTTTGAGTCTGTTGTAAGATCCTACCTCTTCAGTTCACGGGGGATGAGAAGTTGCTGCCTACTTGGCCTAGGCCCTGGTTCTTTGGCACTGGCCTATATTATTTTTTATGACCCTTGTGCAATCCCAGTGTTGGTGTACAAGGAAGAACAACTGATTAGAATAGTTACGTCCCCTTGGCTAAAGTGGTACAATCAGCAATAGCAGTAGTATCAAATACAGCCTAGAAAATGACAAACCATGGTAACTATTAATTTGCCACCTTTAACCACATGAACTAGATTCGTGGTTATATAACAAAATCTAAAATGAACCAGAAAAATTCTACACAATAAATATGCCCTCAATATGATGACTTTACCCTCAGGGCAGAAAATTTAAAAGATGTTCGGGGGAGAATAGAGAAATAGAAGACAAGGAAGAGATTAGAAGCAAGGCTGAAAGACAAAGCAGGATCACAAACACTTTGGGAACTGGTGCAGAAGAGGTAGGGAAATAGATAGAGAAGAGATCAAAGCAAGAATATAGCGGGGCATGGTGGTGCACACCTGTAATTCCAGCACTCAGGAAGCTGAGGCAGGAGGATCGTTGTGAGCTCAAGACCAGTCTGGGCTACAAAGTGAGCTCAAGGCCATCCTGAACTTCATAGTGAGACCTTGTCTGAAAAAGACAAAAAAAGAACAACAGAAAAAAGAAAAAAGTCCACTTCAAGGCATATCTCTGCTGTCACTGTTAGACAATGTGGGCAGACGGAGTCTAGTTCCAAGTTGATTAATTGCAGCAAGCCAGCCGTAGCTTTACGGCACGGTAGTGGAAAAGCCCACTGAGCCTGTACCTTTAGTCCCACTAGGGTTCAGGCTGGTTTCTGGCTGTGAGGGTGGAACCAGATGTGTTCAGCCTGCGACACTCCGTGTGCCTCCTACTGACTTGAACTCAGTTCCACCTCACCCTGACCCTGGGAGCCACTACAAGGAGCCTCTGCTGGTGGTGGGGGATGATGTCTCCACATGAGCCACACAGGGGGTGGGGGACCCCCACATGGGTTCTGGGGGAGGCCACGCCCACCTGGCATCCCCAGCACAACCAGCTCCTTGCAAGTGTGGGAGGCAGACCACGTGCAGAACTGGGCAAGGGTACAGAGGGAGGGGATGTTGAGGCTGGGCTGGACGATGCACCTGCTGGGAGGCCTGAAACAGCAGCCGAAGGAGAACCAGGAACCCCACAGTAGTTAAGAGAAATGCTGGAAGTGGCCTGTGTGCACTGGAGAGACAGAGAGAGTGGGTGTGGCACCCAGCTCCCTGTCTAACTGGTGTGAACACACCTTTCTCCCAGAGGCACCCTGGGCTTTCAATGGACTTGCCCTCCACCCACAGCGGAAACACTAGGGAGAGCAGCCATGTGGCCTGCCATGGTATGGTATGCATACCTGTATTCCCAGCACTATGGGAGGCTGAGGCAGGAGGATTACAAGTTGGTGCCTAACCAGGGCAAGTTAGTGATTTATCCAGTCTCTGTCTCAGAACAAAAAATAGAAAAGGGCTAGGGATGTAGCTTAGTGTGAAAACCCTGGGTTCAGTCCCCAGTACTGTTTAAAAAAAAAAAAAGGCTTGTGAATGTGGGTGTCATTGGGTGTGATCTTATATGGTGCTTTTCTCATATCCCGGTGGTTCTGTCCTATCGCCATGCTTTGGGGAAGCCCTGAGCAGCAGGGGGGTGCCCTGGGGGGCCTGGGAGGGGAAGTTGGTCCACCCACCCCAGGGCTCCGTACTGCTCTCTCTGCAGGCTGGCGAGGGGCTCAGGCCCAAGGTGCTGATGGGGCCCAGCTGCCCCCTCCCAGCAGGAAAGATGTTGGGGTTGCCAGTCCCCAGACTCACACCACTGGTGGAGGATGAGGACATACCCTTCACAGAGCACTACCCCTATGACTCCTACCAAGTTAGGGGCCCCCACTCCTTCCTCACCAGCTTGCAGTTAACTGTCCAGGCAGGGCTCTGCCCGGGGGGAAGTCCCTCTGCCCCCAGCAGGGGCCCTGACACTCAGGATGCCTCCAGGCAGGGCCTGCAGGGGAAGGTGCAGAGCCTGAAGAACCAGGTCTGGGAGCTGTACCCGGACCTCACCGAGCGCCATGCCCTCGTCAAGGCGGAGATCATGGGCGACCTCCTGCAGCTGGATGCTTGGATGGCCTCAGAGTAGGCCTCCACGGAGGGCTTTCAAGATGTCTTCCAGGAGGTAGCCACTCCCTGAGGGCCAGCCCCAGCACCCCACGTCAGGAGACAACCCAGGAAGGAAGGGAGTAAGAGGGGGCCCCATGAGACACCCCCATCCGGCAGGTTCTAGAACCCACCAAGAGCCTTCGCCACCAGGACCCACACGGAGGCAGCTGGGACTAAATGGCCCTCGGTGGCCACAGTGCCAGTGCCACCTCGGCAGGTGCTCACGGCAGAAGGGACTCCTGGGGGTGTCATGAGGTCCTCGGTGCATCTAAGCAGTGGAACACTTAGGAGGGGGCGGGGATTTCTTCAGCCCACGGCCAGGGCCAGCCGGGTCTGGGCCAGGCCGTCACACTCTGCTCGGGTGGGCATCAGGGCAGTTGGGCTGGCACAGGGCTCGTGGGTGTGCCCATCACCCGCCACGCCTGGCCAGGTGGACAGCCGTCCCTACCTCCCTCTGGGGATTGCATCTGCCCCGCCTGCCTCCTGCATGCCATTTCCTGCCTTTTTGGGGCCCACCGCCAGCAGCCCGGGAGAAAGTGTGTTCAGACCTGAGTTTACACAGCACCGCTGTACGCCGTCTCCACCCTAGGGTGCTCAGCAGACCGTCTCTAGGTGGAAATTCTCACCCGGGAAGGGCTTCCCTTGGAGGCCTTGCCCTGTGGTCTCTCAGCGTCGAAGGGTACCCCTGAGGAGCTCTAGCCCCATGATGTGACCCGCTCTCCCCTGCCCCGGCAGCCTGCATCTCACTTGGTGAGGTTCTCTGTCCACTCTTTGCTCAGTACCATGGCCCCTCTCCACCTGGAAATCCTTGTCCTGTGGCTTGGGCACATTTCTTTTTTAATTACTTGATTTCTTCATTTTTTCTCTTTTCAGGCTTCCCATGACCGAATGTTGACTTCCTTTTCACCTTTGCTATCTTTTGTCTCATACTTCCGGAGGATTTCCTCCTCATCTTCCAACACCGCCGTTTGGTAGTTCATTTCTGCCATCTTGGTTTTAATTTCCAAGAGCCTCTCCTTTTTCTTGTCTTTTCTTTCTTTCTTTTTTGTGTGTGCATGTGAGTTTTGTTTTGTTTTGTTTTTGTTTTTGAGACAGGCTCTCACTGTGTAGTCCAGGCTGGCCTTGAGCTTACTATGTAGCTGATCTTGAACTCACGGAGATCCTCCTGCCTCAGCCTCTAGAGCTGTGGGATTACAGACGTGCAGCACCACGCCCAGCTTCTTTTCCTTAAGTGACTTCATCCGGTTCCCCGGTTTTTCTTTTCTTTTTTCTTTCTGGTGCTACGGGTTGAGCCCAGGGCCTGGCACGTGGTACCAGCACACTAGCACGGAGCTGCACCCCAGTCTGTTCCCGGCAGCCTTGTCAGAGTGCAGACGCCCTAGGCCTTCCCACTCGACTCCCCTCCAAGTCCTCCTTTCTGATATCCCTGCTGCAGCGTCTCTGCGGCACCAGCTTCAGCAGGGGCCAGGACCTCAGTGCCACCCACACTCGGCCAATGGCATTGTGTACACTCAGCGCTCAAGCAGGAAGCCCGGAGAGGTCCTGCCTCCTTTCCTCAGCCCCATCTGTCCCCCTGTCCAGTGCACTAACCTCCCTGTTTCAGGCCACCCAGGTGCTTTCTACTGTGACCTCCAAGCCCAGCCCAGCCGCAGCTGACCGTCCTCAGCCCCGGCTGCCCGCCACACAGCTGTGACCTCTTCCAAGCCTGAGCCCCATCACAGAAGGGCTGCTGGTCCTCCTGGGCACCATTCCTGGCCCTCCTGCCCCCAGCAACACCCTGGTCACAGCGTCCTCCCATTCCACAAAGGGAGCTGGCCCGACCCCACCCCCATACCTCTGCCAGAAGCTTCCCGCTTCAGTGTCCTGTGCATTCTCCGCGCTTGGGTCCCAGCGGACATCACCAGAGAGGTCCCAGAACACCTTGACCAGTGTAGGTCTTGGTGATTATCACTCTGCCACCAGTCCTATGGGCTTTCTTCCTAACTCTGTGGTGTCTTCCTGGTCAGACCTGACCACCCTGTCCATTACCACAGCTGGTGGCTTTCCAGGCCTGGCAAGCGACTGGACCCTGGTAAATATTCCAGAACCAAAAGAGCGCCCTAGAGTGCTTACTTCAATGTTATTTTTTTCTAGACAGGCTCTCGCTGTGTAGTCCAGGCTGGCCTTGAACTGTGTAGCTCAAGCTGGCCTCGAACTCCTGTTGATCCTCCTGCCTCACCCTCTCAAGTGCTGGGATTACAGGTGTGCACCACCACACCTGGCTCTCAGGTGAGTTTTTGTGCAGTGAGCCTAAGGCCTCTCAGGGCCTGGCTCTGTAGCTTCTTGTAACATGGGTAAATAAGTGTAACTCCCAACCTGCTGCATGTCTGATCCACCGAGTTCGTGTGCCCCAGAGCTGAAGAATGAATCCTGAGGAACAATGGAGGTTAAGAGCAGGAAAACTTAGGGCTGGGGATATAGCTCTGCGGCATAAGCGCCTGCCTGGCAAATGCAAGGTCCTCAGTTCAATTCCCAGTACCACAAAAAAAAAAAAAAAAAAAAAAAAAAAAAAAAAAAAAAAAAAAAAAAAAAAAGAGTAGGAAAACTTATTAGGGAATGAAAATAGCTCCTGTGAGACAGGAGGGGCCCTGAGTGGATTGCTGCAGACCCCATTTTACAGAAGAAGATTTATAGAGCAAAATCACAAGGTGGGCACAATACAGGTCAAAACTAGGCTCAGCCGGTAAGATTATGAGTTTTAGCTACCTAGGTAATACTGATCCAGTGGGGAAGCAGGTCTTGAAGCAATTGTACCTGGAAAGAATAAGGGCCTCTTTATGAAGAGATGGAGCAGGGGTTCTGCCACCCACCTGGCTGACTGGTGTTAATGTTATTTGTTGTTTATCCCTCGGAGAGGCATGTAGGCCCAATCATTTCATCTTTTTTTTTTTTTTTTTGGTACCGGGAATCGAACTAGGACCTCATGCTTGCCAGGCAGGTGCTGCACCACTGAGCTGTATCCCCAGCCCAGTCATTTATTTCATCTTTATCTTGAGGCCTGACCTCTAACAGATGCACCTCTGGCCATAATTGTAATATGTTTTCATCCTCTGTATTGACTCCCCTGAGAGCCTAGCCCTGTCTGACTGCCTATCATATTTCTGTATTTCTAACTCTTCACTCCTTTGAAGAGGCACCCCTGACTGCCGTGAGGGGGCAAGGAGGGATGCGTGTTCTGATTACTTCTGGCACAAGGGGGTTGCAGTTGCAATCCGTAGTCAGAGATACTCCACAGAGGATCTATCTAAAGTCCCTCAAAAAACACAAAAAACAAAAAAGCACTCCATAGACACAGTTATTCTTGTCTTGGGCAGGTGTATATTAAGTCTGGAGGAGACAAGGCCAAAGAAACAGTTAAATATGCCTGTGCCAAGACCTATTTTACAGCATTTCATATCAAAGTCCACTTGGGGGTGCTCTAACATCACTTCTCCCTAGTGCTGTTATCTAACAAATCAAACAGGACAAGCAAGGAGCACCAATAAATTCAGCAACTAGTAAGTCCAAATGCAGCATACACAAAACAGGAATACAGCTTTTTGTTTGCAAAAGAAAAATGTCCTATTGAAGAAATATAATCTTCCCATGTTCTCAATTTAAATTTATCATCATTTTAACAAAAAAAGCATAAAGAAAAGACAACACATAAAAATTCAAAGTATAAGTAATTGACAAACAAGGATGACAATTTCTGATTCCCTAGATGACACAATCCAGAATCCAGGAAATAAAAGCAAACACAACTGTCTTGGTGGGAGCTCAAAATGATATAGGGGAAATACATGTAACTCTCAACTTGCTAGATTTCTTTTTTTGTTTGTTTTTTGTTTTTGTTTTTGTTTTTGTTTTTTCTCCGGTACCGGGAACCGAACTCACCACCTTGCGCTTGCCAGGCAGGCGCTTTTGCTGCTGAGCTAAATCCCCAGCCCCTACTTGTTAGATTTCTGATATGCGGTTTGTGTTCCCCAAAACCAAAGAATGAATTCTAAAGAACAATGGGGGTTAAGAGTCAGCAAATTTATTGGGAATTAAAAATAGTTCCTGGGAGATAGGAGGGGATCCTGAGTGGGTTGCTGTGGACCCCATTTTACAGAAGTTTTATAGAGCCAACTCACAAGGTGGGCACAACGTGAGACAAAACTAGGATCAACCAATAAGCTTACAAGTTTAGCTGCCAATAAGCTTACAAGTTTAGGTAATACTGATCCAATGGGGAAGCAGGCCACAAACGAAGTGGTCCTGGAAAGAACGAGGTTCTGGGGACCCACTGGGGCAATTGTTGTTTACCAGGTGAGCAGTTTCCCAGTCACTGTTCATTCCTGGGACATTTGGCCTGGTCCCTTTGTCTGTATCTTGAGGCCTGGCCTCCCACAGATGTGCCTCTGGCTGGCCACAGGTGTAACATGTCCTCAGCCTCTGCCCTTTCCCTCGAGGGCCCGGCCCTGTCTGACTGCCTGTAACATTTGTACCTAGCTTAGCTGTCTGTAATGCTAGCATCGCAGTACCTGTTCCCTCCACCCAGGTTCCAGGCACCTGTGGACGAGCTGTCAGAAAATCTCAACCTGTACAAAGACAACAGGTAAGGCAAGGTGCTGGCCAGGTAAAGCGAGTGATCCGATTTCAGAGACAAGCACAGGACCAAGGAAGCCTGTGGGTTTCATTTTCCCCTTGGGCTCCCTGGAAGGGACCAGCTCTGTGACCTGGCTGGGCCTCACTCTGTAAAGTGACTTTCTAGATGACATGTGAGTCTGGCAGGACCACTTTACAACAGTAAAGGGCTGTGGTTTCAAGCTCTGCCCTCGAGTGTAAACAGGGTTAGTCACTGGAGCAGTGTTTACTGAAATCCCTGCCAGGGGCAGGGAAGAGTATGCAGTGACACATCTGGTAATTCAGGCTGGTCGAACTCCCAGAGCTCTTCCAGCCTCAGCCTTCCGGGTACTGGGATTACAGGCGTGGCAGGGATGGCATCATTGTCAGGACTAGGGGAGGATAGAGGTTGCTGATCTGCCTAGAATCAGTGTACTGGGGGCATGGTAGACACCCACACACACACACACACAAGGCGCAGGGGCTCCTGGGAGCCTTGATTCAAAGAATTCAAAGCTCGGTGCCCGCCTTCCCCCCAGCGACTGCTGTTTGGGCCAGGAGCAGCTGTCTCCAAGGACGCTGCCCGGCAGTGAGATAAGAATCCTTGATAGGACATGGGTGTGGCTGGGTCCCCACCACACTGGGAGAATGACAGGAGGGCCAGTGCAGACCTGCCCAGGCTCAGCTGTCCCTTATGAAATATCCAGGGGACACCACAGACAAGAGGGAGAAGATGTCACAGCCCCAAAACATCGACCACGCCCTGAGCATTGTCCCAGAAGAGGCCATGCTGAAGAGAGATCATCTCAGACCCAAGCAGAAGAGCGGGCCGATGTCCCTGGGGAAGAGGACAGCTGACTTAGCAAAGGACCTGAGCACCCAAGACTGGGCCACTTAAACTGTTCCCCTTAATGTTCTTTTTTTTCTTTTGCAATACTGGGGATCAAACCCAAGGGCTCTCTACCAGTGAGCCACAGCCTCAGCTTTTTTTCTTTTTTGGTAAGGTCTGTGTACTTCAGGCTGACCTTGGACCCAGGCTGGCCTCCAACTCATGGTGATCTTCCTGCCTCAGCCTCCTGAGTGCTGGGATTACCACTGCTTATTTCTTAAAAAGGTAGTAACTGATCAGTAAACTCCGGAGACTCTGCAGTGGTCAGGTTGCTCCACTTCCTGTGCTCCCACGGCTTGAAGTCCTGGCCCCTTTCACAGCCACAAGCCCACCCTGGGCCTTCCCAGTCCGAGAAGTGAACGCACAGGTGGCAGCCCACAGGGGTCTGCATCTGTGTTCGGACCTGGCCACCAGCATGAACCTCCTCTGCCGCCGTACAGCGCCTGCATGGCTGTGAGGAATCCACCTGCGCCTGAGCCCTGGCCCCACTGTCGGCCTGGTGCCTCGGACGTTCCACCCAGCAACCCAAGCAGTGGCTCACAGCAGGGCAGAGCTCAGGAAGCCAGGAGAGCAGCTGGCAGCCCTGTGGCACAGGGTCACCACAAGGCCTCAGATTCTAAGCTACTGCTGCCCCCGCCCCTTGGGTTGGTAGGGCTGTGGCACAACCATATTTTGTTTTGTTGAGACTGTGTCACCTTCTGTCCTTCACGCTGGCCTCCAACTCATGGCAATCCTCCTGCCTCAGCCTTGTGAGTGCTGGGACTTCAGGCATGCAACACCCGACTGGCTCTTAGCAACCCTTTTTTGAAGTTGTTTATTCCTGGTAATTTTCTATTTCTATATAGTACCTCTGTAATTAAGAGTAGCTTAATAAATGCTTAAAAAGTTACTCTAGAATGTACAAGCTTTGGAGGCTAAATGATGCCCAGATAGCTGTACATTAAGCAGATACCCAGTTTAATTTGGTTGTCTGAACAGCACGCAGGCCTGTGCACAGGGGTGGACATCAGGATGGACACGCAGCTGTCACCTCAGCCCTCGGGGCCCGGGCTGCTCTATGGCCTGGAGCAGGACGTTCACCCCTCAAAACACCAAAGCCCTGCAGGCAGCCGAAGGGCGAAGGGAATCCAGCTCCCCAGACCAGCCGGGGGCAGACACCAGACCTGAGGCTGGTGGCTCTGGACCCCCGGGTCGCCTGTGATCGGCACCCCACACAACCACACTGCTGCTCACGGTGAAATCAAATACAGTTTTATTGATTTAAGAACTGGGAATAATCATCAGTATCTGTGAAAGAAAATTCCATTTAAAATATTTAAATAAACATTTCTGTATGTAAACAGAAGAGTAGAACAATTACTCCGTAAGTCCCTCTCTGTGGCGGGGCCTCCCACGGCAGGCACGGGATGAGCCCTTCCCACCGAGACAGAGAGGCTGAGGTCGCCTAACCTTGCTGAGCCGCTACGGAAGCGAAGTACAGTGGGGTCGCAGCTACCTAAGGCAGCGAGAAAGTGCAGAGAAGGAAGAGGGCTCGCTGTGCCTGCAGCGGGGCTGTGACCAGGGAGCTGGGGCTGACGCCTGCCAGAGCCAGACTGGGCCGATCGTTTGCACCACGAACCGTGCTGTCCTCCCAGGCCACAGAACAGTTCAGTGTTGTTAGGCTCCAGAAGCGGCCTGCACCAAGGAAGGGATGCTGGGGCTGACCTTGGCCTTCTGCCTAGGGGTCACCGCTACCGCTTCTGCAGACGGCCACCCGGCAGCAGTTCCTGCAGGGTCTCACGAGGTGCTGTTCAGCGTGGCCTTGTTTCTGAGCTCGTCCATTCCCGTTCCCCACGTAACTCTCCACTTGGCCCGGAAGCTGAGGAAGCCATGCTGTGCTGGGGGAAAGGCTACCTCCCCAAGCCCCTGGAGTTACTCCCTGAAGCACAGCAAAACACAACAGTCTCCTGGGGCGCAAGGCAGCACTGCAAAACCCCAAGACCCGAGCTCCTTCACTCCTGGGTCTGGCATGAAGATCGGCTTTCTGGCCTCTGGAAGACGGAGGCTGGCATCAAATGCCAACACCCCGCCTTACCACGTGCAGTGCCAGGGGCCATCATTAGCTGCTCCCCATCCATCAAACAGGTAACCCCACAGCCCCCATGGGGGCTGGGGGCTGGGGGCTGGGGCCTGGACCAGTCCAGCTCGGACGCAGCTGCGAAGTACATTCCCTCAGAGCACCCAGATGCTGCCAGAATCTCACCACATCCGCCACAGTCCAGCCCTGGGAGCAGCGGCTGCTTCAGTAACTATGGTTTGGGGCAGCTGGGGACGGGTTTGACTCGTGTTCCCACAATGAGTGATGCGTCTGACGTCCCCCCGAGGCCTGGCTCCCTCTGAGGTCACCAGGGCCGATGGGTCTCGAGCCAGCAGGGTTCGCGCTGGCAGTCGACAAACCCATTGAGCCTCTTTGGTATATAGAACAATGAGAAAGATAAGCCATGGAATCTAGAAAAAAAGCAATGTTTCTGAGCCGGTAAAATGCTCTTTTGAATATACATGTTAGGGATCTGCGCAGGGAACCAAGCAGCCCACGTGGCTGCCACTTTCACAGCACAGAACTGCAGTACGTCAGATGTGAGATGCCAAACACTGGTATTCTAAGTCCTCACCACAGCCCTGGGAGGCAGGTGGTACGGGCCCCACCCTGCAGGTGGGGAGCTACACGTCAAGGGTCTGGTGGCTCCTCAAAAGCCATGGTGTGTGGTGGCCCACAGGCAAACGCTACCCTCACCCGTGCTCCCGCAAAGCTGCCTGGGAGGGTTCACACCAAGACCAAGTTCCTGTCTAGCCCAGGATTCACCAAGGATTAAGCAAGGGTCTCAGCTGCCTGACTCATTAAGGCAGTTCCTCTCCCCAAACTTGCGGGACAGAGATGCCCACAGAACCTCGGCTGGGATGATGTGCTCTGTTTAAGATTGTTTTCAGGAGTGGACGTGCCGGCTTGGTTATGTGCTGGATCCCTTTGGGAGAGGCAGCTTGAACCAGCACTGGGGAGGACGAGAACCCAGAAAACACTGCTGGATGGATTCACATGGAGACGCAAAAACGCGAGCTATGGGAAAATGAGAGCAGAATCCCAAATAAATGGACAGCAGGGAATTCCTCAAGGGTTAGCAGTGTCTGCGTACAGCAGTAAGCACTTCCTGGGTAAAGTGACACATCTGTGAACTGCCTGTCATCAGAAACAGGACAGCAAGAGCCAGGACCCCCGGGAAGCTCCCAGGGCCCACCGTCCCCCGGCCTAGCATGCCACAGTCACCTAAAGCCACCGGCCAAATTGTGTCAGGGTCTGTGCTTACTTGCTGACAAACACAAGCTGGAGCTAGGAAGCTCCAGGGAGGCCCTTTGCATTTATCCTGCTATTTACAGAAAACAGATGTGTGGGTACGGTTAAATGCATGAGGGGTCACAGGGTTAGAAGGGTCTTGAGAGTTATGCGGATGTACATGCATTGAAGGACACGATAGAGGTTAAACCTGTGCTGTGGTGCTTTTCTGTGAAATTAAAAGTTTTCAGTGCATTTTTAATGCGGACACGCAGCGACACCCACCACCCTCGGCAGCAGACTTGCTGCTGAGCCGTGTGCACCTCTCCTGAGAAGGCCTGGATGTCATGCAAACACACGGTGGTCCTGGGGGCACTGCCGTGTGGCCCAGGTCCTCACCTGGTCACTTGGGAAGTGGTACTGATGAATATTGCTGTGATTCGCTCCACGTTCCTTGGAAACCCCTGCCCTACCTGGGTTTAGCACAAGAGTGCTCCAGTGGGGCTTTGGGTCCTAAGGCCTTCCGACCGTGTGGTCTTGGGTGACATTCCCGAAGAGTAATTAGTGACATAGAAAATGATTAAGAAAATCCATTCTGCAGTGGCCGACCAGTGCGCTTCTGTCCCGGTGGTCGGTCCCACCTGGCCCTGCCCATCATAGCTCCACCTTGACCCCCTTTATGAAGGGCAGGCCCGTGGGCACCCGCTTCTTATACTCTAAGTAGTCCTCTCCAAAGAAGTGGATCAGCGAGATCTCCTCTTCCTCAGTTCGATCTCGGAAGAAGCGCCACACGGTCAGGGCATAGACGACCCCACAGATGGGGTTACACAGCATCACCTAGCAGAGAAAACAGTAAGAGGGTCATGGTTGGAGTGGGCCAGTATCTAAGCACCTTTGTCTCTCTCTACTTGTGGCCATCCTCCCGTCTCAGCCTCCCAAGTGCGAGGGTTACGGGCATGCACCAGTACGGCCGCCAGCATCTGTCTCTGATACCTATAGGACTCCTCTCCATGGGCACAGGAGACCCAGTACTCAGGTTCTCCGGGAGCCGGGGTGTCATTAACAGAACTCAGCCCGTGACACCACTGTGGCTGTGGGTTTTTCCTGCTGTCCTGCTGTTCCTCTTAGGGGAGAGTCCCAAGTTACACGGCAAGATCGACCTCTTGGGTTCCAGTGCTTGGGTCAGGTGGACGGACCCCTCCTGCCCCAAGTGTGACCGCCTCTCACAGGAGCTGGTCCTGGGCCCCCATTCCTGGACACGCTTGTCCTGCCTCTGGCCCCACAGCCAGCTCGTGGGTCTGAGTCTCGGGTGGCCCAGGTGAGCTTCCAGAACCCTCCTCCCGCAGGTCGCTTGGTCCCAGACAGCTCCAATGCCTAAACCCCAGCCAAGCCTCAAGCCTCACCTGGCCTGCTGCACACGGCCTCCCATCTCCCCGTGTCCCTTACCCGCCTCCTGCACTCCACAAGCTCTCCCCACTGAGCCAAAGCCAAATAGCCTGCTAAGGCCCAGAGCAGCCCTGCGCCTTAAAGGCTTTCTGTGCTGCTGGAGCGCCTGCTAAGCACCCTGCTGGCTCTGAGTGCTGGTCCCCCAGACACAGCGTCTCCCCGGGTGAGCGCTTCCACCCGGGAACGAGCAACACCCCCGACCTCTCCCTGTTGTGTGCTATCCCGGCACCATGCCAAGCCCTTCTCAAGGTGAAGCCATTCAACCCACGACAGCGCTCAGAGCAGTGACCAATCCCTGTAACGTGTGAGGGCAGGGAGGCCAAGGAGTGAGCGTCAGACCGAGGACAGCGCTGGCCAGTGACTCCGGAGCCCGCATCTTCACACCCGGGGGACGTGCCCTTGGGAATACACGTGCCAGTCCCAGGCCGCACATCGCTACTCAGCCAGGAAGTGGATCTAGTCATGGCCGGGGTTACCAATAAGATAGAAATAAAGCTCTGCAGAAAGTGAGGGAAGGGTCAGTACAGGAAAGGCAAGCTCCATTTATACACGTGGGTGCTGGGTGCAACGTGAGAAACACCTGTAACCTAAAAGGGACATGGTAGGCAGGTGTCTCGGACACACCACATTCGCTGGCTATAATCAATTTGTTCTCAGGCAATGTGACTGCTAAGGTGACAGTGTTAATAGAAAGCGTGTGTGTGTGTGTGTGTGTGTATGGTAATGGGGATTGAACCCAGGGCCTTTGCACTGAGCTCCATCCTTAGCCCTTTTCATTTTTTATTTTGAGATAGGGTCTTGCTAAGTTGCTAAACTGCCCACGGTGCACTCAAACTTGTGATTCTCCTGCCTCAGCTTCCCAGAGTGCTGAGATTACAGAGGTGCACCCCCACACCCAGCTAAAAACACCAAAGTTTTAAAACAAATGCTGTGTGGTTATCTGTCCCTACTACGTAACACTGGAGGTCACCAGTGTCCTGGGGGTCCCAGGAACCTTGGCTGGATTTTCCCCAAAGAGGGGATGAATGGTCCAAACTCATATCGTGTTCCTTGGCCAAGCTTTGCTAAGTCCAAGGGTACAGAGGCAAGAACCACCCATGAATGGCTGAGGGTGCACCTTCCCATAATCCCACCCCTCCTCCCACTCTGGGGTGCTCCAGAGCTAGACTAGGAGGCAGCAAAGGGGCGCGGGTGGGGTGGCAGCACGGGGAGTCACCAAGGGTGTATGATGCCCAGGTTATAACTACATGGTAAAAACCTTAAGGACTAAATTTATTTTCCTGCTAGGCGTGGTGGCGCATGCCTCTAACCCTAGCACTCGGGAGGTTGAGGCAGGACTGCTGCAAGTCTGAGGCCAGCCTGGGCTACATAACAAGACCCAGCCTCAAAAAGCAGCTACCTAGGGGCTGGGGATTTAGCTCAGCAGCAAAAGCGCCTGCCTGGCAAGCGCAAGGTCGTGAGTTCGGTTCCCGGTACCGGAGAAAAACCAAAAAAAAAACCAAAACAGCTACCTAGCAAGAACCTGTCTTAATTAATTAACTAATTTAAAAAAAACAAGAAAAGAAAAAAATCAAAGAAACATGCCAGGGAGTACAGGTTGCAGGAGACCAGGGACCTTGTGAATACAGGAAAAGAGACTGAATTGTACCTTTCAAATGTGAATTTTACAGCTCAACTGTATTTCAATTTAAAATCCAAGACAGTAAATTAACGGCAACCAGCGTCATCTCTGATACCATACCTGGGTACCAATACTCCAGTAGAACCAGCCCACGTAGGACGGGTGCCGGAACCAGGCATACACCCCGCTCGTCACCAGAGTGTGGGTGTCTGACTTCTCATTCTGCACCACGTGGTTGAAGTTGGAGCCCGCGGTGAACATGGCGGCCTTGCGCAGGCATTCGCCGAAGACCACCATGAGCAGCCCCGTGGCGCTGAGCCAGGTGATCTGCTTCAGCTCTGTGGAGAGACCACAGGGACCATGGGGACTGAGAACCCGGGACTGTGCAGCCCCTACCTCGCTGCTCACAAGCAACGGATTTCCTTGCTCAAAGAAAGAAGCGTCGGGAAACACGCCAGGGGCAATTAGCGTCGGTCAGCACATTATAACTGGAGGAGAGAAAACAGCACTGTAAGCTGCTGTTCATCCATGCACTTTGAAACGCCAACTGCACGGCAGTCTTCCCCTCCAAGGCTGACGGGTGCTCAGCTCTCGTCCCCAGCCCCAGGTTTGTGTCCTTCTCTTTGGGATAAGCACAGGTGAGAAAAGTGGGGAAGGGGCCAGGGTCCCACCCAGAATCCTGGCAGCCACAGCTGTTGTCTGCATCCGCAATAGGAAGTTTGATTTCAGAGTTTGATTTCAGAAGTTTGATTTCAGAAGTTTGATTTCAGATTTCTGCTCCACATGCAGAAGTTGCTGCTAATGAAAACTTCGTGTGAGATTCCTCCTGTCACAGAAAATGAGTGGTTGGGGTCACACCCATCACGGAGACCTCACTTTAGATAGTGCACTATGTTACGCAAAGCTTAAAGCAAAAGGTCAACATGTCCCCGATTCAAACTCCCGAAGTGGAATTCTCGAGCGGAGCCCGTCCTTTATAAATAGCTTAGTGAGGAGGACAGAGGGCTGGGGACAATCGCTCAGGGGAGCTTAGGACTGAAAGGTGAAACAATGTCACCGTCCTCAGCACGCATGGCAGCTGCCCTTCTTGCTGCCGGCAGGGAAAGTGGGGCGCACTAACCTGGCCAAAAGATATTTTCAAGCGTGAACTCTATCCAAGAAGAAAGAGCAGCCACTGTGTACTCCAGACTGTGATTCAGGAGGAAGGAATCCAAGGACAGGCTTTTGGGGTTATTGACAGCTGTCACCAAGTACTCAGAGTAGTGGAACAATGACAGCGAGCACACATACCTATTTAAAAAGAAACAGCGGTAAACTGGGGCAAGGGAACCGAGTTAGCCAGACACAGGAGTAGATCTGGACCTGAACTGTCTGTCCCTAGTTCTGTGACAAGGTCCTGTTAAAAGTCTGCCCGTGCGGACATCAGGTGCCCGAATGTAAAGCATGTACTCCCTCTGATTCGCAGAAAGTGGGGTTTTTAAGTGGAGGTGTCATGATCTTGAATGTCACAGACAAAAAACCCAAATAACCTCCATAGGTGAAGGAGATATTATGGACCTTTAAGTCCTTGTAAAATGACAACATACGTTTTAAAATGAAAGAGAGAAATAGCAACATAAAGTAGTGATGTATGTCGGAAACAAAATTCAACAAAACTAATAAAATAATTTCAGCAAAGAAGGATTAGATGGCTCAGCATACTGATAGTAGGAGATAAAGCTCTTTACCTTGAAGCCATGGTTCATATCCAGGTCAGAGACTAGAAGGCTCAAGGGACTGAAATCATAGTGTAGGGGAAAATCCTACTGTGGCTGGGGGGTGCACTAGCCGTGACCTAATAGAAATCGGAGATGGAAAAGGCTTAGGAAGGCCGGCCAGAGTCTGTCCCTTCCCGTCACCGAGGACCTGCACCCCCTTCCGGGAAGGGCTCGGCACCTCACTGAACGCTGTCCCAGCAGCTGCCGTGAGGGCACCTTTAGGGAGAGTGCCAGGGAGACCTGTTTTTCTGCAACAGAGTCCACCAATGGGCACGAGCGTACAAAGTCCGAACTGTGGGCATCTAGGTGGAAGACCAAAAGGACCCTGAAGAGCCTTCTGCCTGCCCATCAGACATAAGAGGCAGGGACAAGGCAATGCCACACTGACCCTCTGCGCTGTCCACCCTCGCCTCAACACCATCACCCCCCAGGACTTCTTACCAGCCAAAGTGATTCCAAGAGGACTGGCTAAAACTAAGCAGCACGCCACAGCCGAACACAAAGCCAAGGAAGCAAGCTCGGATTGCTATCTGAAACGGACCCAAAAGAAGCCCAAGTCACCGGCTGTTCTCAGAGTCCAAACCCAGCCTTATGACCTTCCTGGGATAAGCAGGTCACCAGCAAGCAAAGGCAGCCCCTTTGCACAGAGGCTAAGAGGGTAAAGTGGGGCTACCTGGGTTCAAATCCTGCACCAGACCCCTCTGGCTATCGGGCCTTGTATTTCAACTCTCTGGACCGCGGCGTGCTCCTGCACACCACAGGGTAACAATCTAGGACTGCTGGGAGGTGGACCTGTGCATAAACTGTTGCATACATTGTAGCTGCCATCACTATTACTGCTATTATTATCAGGGCTGTGGGAAACTGCTTAAAGTTTGTTCCTCCGGCTTGGGCAGATGTTCCCAAGTCTGGGACTCTGGTGGGGACACCTGAGATTCAGTGCCCTGCCTCCTCCGAGAACCCGGGCCTTTGACCTCAGACCTCGCAGCAGGTGAGACTCCACACCTTACATTACATAAAAAACCTCGTGGGCTCGCTCGCTCCCACCCCCTGCGCATCTGCGGCAGCTGCTGAGCTGCACGAACTGCAATTTAACACCCACGGCCGGGAGAGGCGGGGTCCCTCCGCGACCTGAGCAACACGCCCGTAGGAGGCAGCCCTGGACTCGCGGGAAGATGTGGCCAAGCGAACGGCGGCAGCCCGGGACCCCCGCCCGGCTTCGACCCGGACCTCTGCCTGCCGGGTCCTGATCCTGACCCCAACTCCTACCAGTGCAGTTCCAATCCTGAGCCCAGCCTCGAGCCGGACCCCTGCCTGCCGGGTCCCGATCCTGACCCCAACTCCTACCAGTGCAGTTCCGACCCTGAGCCCAGCCCCGACCCTGGCCCTCGCCTGCCGGGTCCCGACCCCGACCCCTGCCTGCCGGGTCCCGATCCTGACCCCAACTCCTACCAAGAGCAGTTCCGATCCTGAGCCCAACCCCGACCCTGGCCCTCGCCTGCAGGGCCCCGACCCCGACCCCGACCCCTGCCCGGCCCGCACCTGGTAGCGCGGCGGCCGGTAGAGCAGGAGCAGCAGCGCGTTGAGCCCCGCCACGTAGAGCGCCAGCCCGGTGCGGCCCTGCAGGCCGGCGCGCGTGAGCAGCGGCAGCGCAAGCACCGAGGCGCCCAGCAGAAAGGTGGCCAGACTGAGGCGCGCCTCCGAGCCCGGCGGAGCCCGCGCCGCACAGCCCGCCATGGCGCAGGGCGGCGGACCAGCCCGCGACCGACAGGCAGGCGCAGACCGTAGCCCGGGAAACCCGCGCGGCCGCGCCTGCGCACTGTGCCGCTGACGCTAGCCGGGAAGGGAGCTGCCCGGAACTGCGCGCCGTCTGAGAGCTCTCGCGAGAACGCCACCCCGAGCGGCCAGTGGCCCAAATTTGGCAAGAGCGCCCCGCCCAGCCACGCCCCGTCGTCCCCGCCCTTCCGGGCTCTTTGGGGTCCCCCACGCCCCGGCGGCCCTCGGCGGGGCCCGGGGAAGCTTCCGAGGGCGTCTTCTAAGAGTGGGCCCCAAACTCCACACAGACAGTTCCTGTCCGGATGAACAACTCGAGCTTAGGAACGACCCTGGCCCCGCGTCGCCCCCGCCGCGGATCCCCTTAATTGCGCAGGCGCGAGGGAGGTCTGCGGGGCTCGGGACGCCCGGGCGACCCCGCCACGGAGCTTAGCCGCTCGCCTAAACCCGGAGGCGGGACGGCGGTGATGTCAGGGCGCGCTGCGGTTTATTACAGAAGGAGAACGCAAAACTTTGCGGTGCGATCCTGTTTTCACATGGGGGGAAGAGAAGCATGCACTTGGGCCTGGGGAAATGATCGAAATATTAGCCACAATGATTTAATTCCTTTAAGGGCACACTTACCACTTTCAACTTCTATCACCCCGGCCACTCGGGAGGCTGAGGCAGGAGGATGGCAGTTCCGAGGCCAACCTGAGCAACTTATCGAGACCCTGTCTCAAAAATATACTCCCTGGCTTCACTCGCCAGTACAGCAAATTAAATAAACTTTCTTTTAAATGGTGAGTACATTTGAATTCCTGTCTCCTAACTACAGTATTTTGAGGTATGTATTATATCATTGTTAATTATCTTCATCCCCAAGCTACAGGACCCCAGACTTTATTATCAAACAGTAAGATTGCACCGGTAGATCGGCCTCTCCCCTTCTGGCCCTTGCCCCAGGGAGCCCGGAGAGCTGCAGAGGAGGAGAAAAGCAAGTCAGGAAAGGGCGAGAACAAACCGCAGGGTGGGAGAGAGAGAAGCTAAGGACCGGTGAGCAGGAGACCCGGAAGGGCGTGAAGACCCTGGGGCCAGGCCCTGGGGCCCCAAGGCTTCGGCAGCGCCGGGAGCTGGAAATGGGGGGCGAGGAGGGGGGCTGGGGCTGGACTGGGAAGGCAGAGGCCGGGCAGGGGCAGGGTGGAGGGCGGTGGTTTGGGTGTGGAGGCCGCAGCGGGACCTGAGTCGGAGCCCCTGGCCTCTCCGCGTCCCTGCAGGGCCGGAGTCCGGGCGCGTGGATGGAGTCTGGCACGCGCTGCAGCCGGGCTTCGTGACTTCGGAAACGCAATGCCGTCAACTTGTGTTTTCTGTAAAATGAGCGTCCTGCTCACTGGTCTGGGTTGGTATTTGTTCCCTAAAGTCCAGGAACATGTTGAAATGGTCCCCAAGAGACCTTTGCTGAACTTGGGTGCTGGGAATTGGAGAGAGAACGTAAAATATAAAACCAAAGTTTCCAAGCTGCAGGGCCATTTAAGGAGGCCTGGATAGTACTGTGACCGGGGGCCGGGAGAGGTGTCTCAGGTTTCTGTCCTCGGTTTCTCGTGGTCGCTCCGGGATTCGAGACCTCTCCTCCGCTCCGGGACGCCTCAGGGCCAGTAGAGGGCGCTCGTCGCACCTTCACGCTGAGTAGGGAGCTCGGTCCATGGGACCCCCACCCCCAGGGAAAGTGCCTCCTCTATCCCAGGCGTTTGTTCTCCGCACTCAGCCTCCCCCAGCGTCCCGGGTGCTCTTGAAGACTCTGGCCATTCTCCCTACGGCGTAAAGCAACGTGTGACCAGACTGGAGAGCCTTCCTCAGCCCCATACTGGAGATGGGGGAGGAAAAGGGACGCAGCCTCCTCCCCAGCAGGGCCAGACTGCACGGAACGGGAAGTTTTAGGAGTTGCTGCAGTTCTAAATCTGTCAGGGCCCAGAGCTTCCTGATCAGTGATGAAGAAGAGAGGCTAAAAAGCAAATCTGCGCACACCTAGGCGTGTGCGTGTGCGGCAGAGTGGGCACATGCGCGCGCACACACAGGTATACACACCTGCGCCCAGGGAGCACACATACGTACCTGCCTTCCCACCGGAGAGGAAAGCAGTCTGATCAAGCCAACCCACGGGGCACCCAGCTCTCCGGATTCAGGGAACGGCAAACCTACCACAATCTAAGGAAGAAGGGGGAAGCGACTCAGCGCTGGGGAGCCCGGCTTGCCGGTCCTTGTAAATAAGCATTTGAATGTGTTTTGTTCTAGGCACTTCAGGCAGGCACAAAAGGAGCCCTTTCTCATGCAGTGGGGTCCCTCTGCGGCCCTCTCCTCCTTCTCCCTCCCCAGCCTGCCGTCCCACCACAGACTGAAGCTACTTTCCTTCCTGGGCCCAAGTGAGTTCCCTCTTGTAGACTGCCCTGAGGACCACCTCGATATTACCAAGCTGAGGGGCTGGGGATTTAGCTCAGCGGCACAGAGCCTACCTGGCAAGCGCAAGGTCGTGAGTTCGATTCCCGGTACCAGAGAAAAACCAAAAAAAAAAAAAAAAAAAAAGATATTACCAAGCTGAACGCCAGGCTGAGCTGAAATTGAACTTCCAGGTCTTAAACAGTGAGAATGGGCAGGGAGGGGGATCCAGAGCAAGGAGAGGGAGGTGTTTGGGTGCGGGTGGAATGAGGCATTCTTGCATCTCACAGCCTGATGGATAACCAAGCACTTCAACCCCTACAACGTCTTCCCAGGATGAAAGTTTGCTCCCGTCCTAGTGTTATCCGAGCCCAACCAAGCAGCAAAAAGATCCAGGAAGCTCTGGCCTCTCCCTCTTCCTCATCGATGGGTGCTAGGTCAGCCTTTTTTTTTTTTTTTTTTGGTTTCTTTGAGACAAGGTCTCAGTATATAGTTCAGGCTGGCTTTCAACTCACTGTGTAGCCCAGGTTTGTCTCAAACTTGTGGCGATCCTCCTGTCTCAGCCTTCCGCCAGCAGGTCAGTCGTTCTTAGAGAGCCTCTCTGCAGCAACTAGTTACTCACAGGCTTTCAGCCTGTCCACGTGTCCACATGGCAGCCAGAAGGGCATCAGGGAGGCCCTGGCCAGCTTGGATCCTGCTCTCCCCGGGAGACAACCCCAGTTTTCCTGAGGTTTGCTTTGCCTTACTCTGGCCATTGCAGGCTGGAGGACTGAAAGACTCTTCTCTGCAGTCTAGAAATGGGTCAGTGATGCGTGATTTATGAGCACACCAGCCCAAAGCGCCTAAGTCCTATGGGCACAAAGGGGCCGGGTAAATATTTAAAGATTAGAGCCAGTTGGGGAGAGACACAAAAGGCCAGGACAATGGGAGTCTCTCGGAATTCACCGTTCCTGAGCGGGGTCTGCCTGGTCAGCACTGATGCACTCTCTGCAGTCCCGGCCTTTGTCCCTTGAAGGGTCCTTGGCTGCCAGGCTGCCGGGACTCAACACAGCTAAAGAGAGTTAGACAATCGCAGCCTCTCCGGCCCCCCTGGAGACAATTGGCCGAGTCATCTCGGGGCTTTTGCTGTGTGCCCATAGTTAATTACATGGAGCAATCACTTCACTCCTTTGAAACCCATCGTGGAGGGGTGGAGGGGAGGAACATTTCTCCCTTCACGTCCTGGCATCTACTGCAGCTTGCACAGGGCTCTCCAGTTCGCACTGTTTTGTTTTTATTTTTGGAGACAGTGTCTCACTGCCTAGTTCAGGCTTGCCTAGAACTCATGTAGACCAGGCTGGCCTCCAGCTGCTAGTGATCCTCCTGCTTCAGCCTCCAGAGTGCTGGGATTACAGAAATGTCCCACCACACCCGACACTTAGCATTGGTTTAAATGCCCACAAGTGCAGGAAGAAAGGGGCTCCCACTCAGGGCCAGAGGTTGCCTGGGGCGGTTACCTGGACTGGGGCGGGTAGCACATCTGGTGAGCTCTCATCCTAAGGTCTGCAAACCCCATCCCCATTTCATGTCCAGACCCCATGCAATGTTTTTTCTTTTGCCAAAGTCAAGAAAGCCAAATAGAGATGGACATGGAGTCCCACACTACATTTTGCTTAAATCCTCCAGCCTTAAAGGAGGGAGCTTGTAAACCCTCAGGATTATAGAAGGAAATTTTTCCTTGAATGAGCAGGGGTGGGGGCCTGGGCTTCCCCAGCGCTCCTCCTGGACCTGTGCTCCTTTCTGGGCACCTTGGGGACCCCGGTGCTAAACATGGAAAGGGAGGTGGTGGCCTACATCCCAATTTGCGTAAGCCTGGTTGCTAAGTCGGTCCACGACCTTCCCAGCCGCCGAGTGCACCTTGTCCTGTTTGCTGTCAGGACAGGGTGATCCACTGCCTCACCCGCCCCAGGAGCAAAGCGAGTCTCCGGGCTCTGCCCCCTTGGAGCCCGGCCTGCGGGTAGGATGCCCAGGATGGGGGGATGCGTGGGGAGGGGAATCCGAGAACTCAGCCTGAGTCTCTGGAAAGGAGGTGCATAGACTTCTGTCTTTTCCATTGACTTTGTGGGATGCAAAGATTTGGCTTTAACTCAGAAGGGGAGCTGCTGCCTGGACAAAGGAGCTCGAACTGGAACTCCGTGGAGGGGTGGAAGCAAGGGGTCTCAGAGTTTTGAAACATCGAGGACACCACAGTCCCTTCTAGCCTCGATCCTGGGCCACCCTCAGCCCCTGGGCGTGAGGAGCCGGCTATTTCTGGTGGTGGTGGTGGTAAGTCCGGAGAGCAGGGGGCGTTGGTGCAGGTGGGGAGACCTTGGCCTGGTGCCGCGCCGCAGGGGAGCGGGCGCAGCAGGCCGTGCCGAGTGGAGGCGGGGACCCTCTAAGCAGACCCTGGCGGAGCGTGACGCTGTGACTCCCGCCTCCCACCGCCAAAGCAGAACATTGCGAATTAGCGCATTTTGCGGTCAATTTTCCACTGCCTAAGAAACACAGGGCCCCCACGTGAGCGGCTCCACCCATACTGCCGGGGTTGCTGGTCACGGCCTCGGGAGGGGTGGTGGCCTCGGGAGGCGTGCTGGCCCAGCGCAGCGAGTGGCATGGTGCGGACAGAGACAGCCGGGCGCTTTATGGCGGGACTAACTGGAGAGGGGCGGCGCGGTGCCCCACCGCGGGCCGGAGAGCTGCGCGCACGGCCATTCATTGGTTTGCTAATGCGCCGGGTTGAAAGGCGCGGGCGGCGGTCTACGCGGGGAGGACGGTAATTAGAAGACAAATTGCCCCGCCGCTCCCGCGGCTGGAGGACCAGGCGGAGGGGGCACCCGGCGGGGCGAGGCGCGCGCCCTGCCTCCGGGCAGATGTGCAGCAGCTGGAGGCCTGAGCGCGGCGGGGCGCCGGGAGTTTGTCCCGGAGGGGGCGGGCGCGGGCGGCACTTTGTGGGGCCGGCACAATGCCCTAAACACTCGGCTGCCCCCTTTGTGCCCCGCCGCCCCGCCGCGCCTTTGTGCCGCGCCACCAGCGCCCGAGAGCGGAGCGAGGCGCACAGAGGCCACCGGCCCCGCGGGTCCTGGCGCTTCAAAGCCGTCCGGCGCGTGCCAGCACCCACCGCTGGGCCCCGGCCTTGCCGCCCTCCCCGGCCCAGAGCGGCCCGGATCTGGCCCGTGGGCCCCGGGAGGGGGCAGGACAGTGTCCTCGAGCTGCTGTCGCCGTGGCACCCGCCTGAAAGGGAGAGGGCGGGGCGCGATTCTCCATGCTGCCCGGTGCCTGGGAATGTGCGCCCCACCAGGGCACATCAATGCGGGCCGGGCAGCTCAGGGGCAAGAGGCTTCTCTGGCGGAGGGAGCTGGGGGCCCAGTGGAGACCCAGCAGCTTCCCTCCCCCACAGGACCCTGTAGGGCCAACGTGTTCACCCCTCAGCCACAGAGCTCAACTGATGAGCATGTGCAGCTTCGATGTCAGCCTCACAAACAGCCACAGAGGCACACTGTCCAGAACCCCATGTTACAAACCCCCAAATTAGGACCACCAGGCCCGCTAAAGAGGAGGCATGGAGATTTGGACAGTTCCCTGGAGGTCAGCCCTCCTGTCAATCACAGCCACCACAGTCCAACCTCTGGGGAACAGGAGGGGCACTACCCAGTCCCAGCGTAGGACCTGAGGGCCCTGCAGGGGTACAGGCCCAGGGGCCTCCTCCACAGCCTGAATAGAGGAAAGGGTGCAGAGACCCAGGAGGGGTAAAGTGCGGGCTGGATCTCTCTCCAGAGCCCCACTGGTCTTCTCCATGCCCACGGTCCATTTGCGGCACCCAGGGAAGGCCCACAGGGGTAGAATCCCATTCCTTCCCCACTGGGGGGCTGGGGTGTGGGTGGCATTCGGCTCAAGTCTAGATTGGATCCTAACGATGTCCGTGCTGCCAGGGTGCGGGCCCTAGCAAGGAGGAGGCCGGCTGTGGCCCTGCGGGCAGGCTGCACGCTTTAATGGGACACATGTTGCTGTGTCGCCCCAGAGGGCCCTGCCTGCACCCGGCTTTGAGCAGCCACAGGCAGAAAATCGCTGCATTGTCCCGACATTAGGGCAACTAATGCGGCATCCCAGCCCGGCCAGAGCGTGAAGCCACGGCAAAGCACCAGCAGCCCACCCCCGCCTCGGCATCTTCATCGGCCGGAGGAGCTCTGTCTTGGTCACTGGGGGGCCTGCGGCCTGGACCTCCCTCCGGGATGCTCCGAGTAAGGGACAGGGAGGACTTGACAGGTGGACCCCATGGCGAGATCTTGAAGCTACAGGGACTGGGACCAATAGGGTATGATGGGGGGTGGGCCTGGGAGGGGGCCGTGACTCAGGAAGTGGTGAGGGCAAGGGAGGAAAAAGACAGAGAGGGGACAGAGGGTCCCTGAGAAGGGAGGAGGGGTCCTGAAGGCCGGAGGTAGCCTGGACTATAGGAGGAGCCCCAGTATGGGAGGTGGGGACCTTCCCCCTGTGTCCCCTCGGTCCCCTCCCCCTTGGGCCTCATTGACATGTAAACGAAGGTCCCCTATAAAGGCAGCGCCGTGTCCTGCTGGCACAGATATCACAATATGGGCACGGAGCCCACCTCCCGGGGGAGCCCCAGTGGCCCTGCCATCAGCTTCCGCAAGGTCTGGGGTCACGAGTGGGGATCCCTCTTCTGGTTGGAGGGGTGGAGAGCAGGAGGGCTGGGCGGGCTCTGACCCCTAAATGCTGCGGGGCCCGCAGATCTCCAAGCCGCTGATGGAGAAGAAGCGCCGGGCGCGCATCAACGTGTCCTTGGAGCAGCTCAAATCGCTGCTGGAGAAACACTACTCGCACCAGGTGGGACGCGGGGAGGAGCAGGGGAATCCACGGCCTCCTCCTCCGCAGTCTGCCCGCTAAGAGCCCCCCCCCCCTCAGATCCGGAAGCGCAAACTGGAAAAGGCAGACGTCCTGGAGCTGAGCGTGAAGTACATGAAGAGCCTTCAGAGCTCGTTGCAAGGTGGGAAGGGGCGCGGGGCCCGGGAGGGCGGGGCGGGGGCGGGAGGGCATTGGTGGGATTTGAGCTTCGGGTACCAACAACCCAGGTGGGGAGGGATGGGGGAAGAGGGGAGCTCGGTGGGTCCCCAGCTCGCGCAGAGTAGGGAAGCAGCGGCGGAGGCCCAGCTGGCAGAGGGTGTAAGCGGCCGGCATCCAGGGGACACCTTCCCTGGACGCAGAGACTACTTTGGAGTGAGGAGGTCGCCTCACGCCCCCTTTCTTCTCCACACTTCCGCCATCCTTTTTCTCCTGCTCCCACGGTCTCCTCGGCTTCTCTCCTCTCCCGTTGCCCCCTCCCTCCCTTCCTCCCTCCAGGGCTCTGGCCCGTGCCCAGCGGAGTCGAATACCCGTCCGGCTTCCGCGGCTGTCTGCCGGGCGTGAGCCAGCTGCTGAGGCGCGCAGAGGAGGGCGGCGGCGGGCCGCCCTGCGCCCTGGCGCCCGAGAGCGCGGGAAGCAGCACCACGGACAGCGCCAGCCCGGGTCCCGGCGCGCAGTCTCCCTGCCACCCTTGCGTCCCAGCCGCCTGGGCTCCTGCTCTGGCCTCCGGCCGCTCACGCTCCCCGTCACCCGGGCTCCTCCTCCCCGGGGGTCTCCCTGGCTCCACCAGCGTCCCTGCGCCGCAGCCAGCGCTGCGCCGCCGAGCCGAGAGCCCCGGCCCTGGGCTGCGCGTGTGGCGCCCCTGGTAAGTCCCAGGCGGGGCCTCGCACTCCAGGGGACCCCGGTTTGGCTGGGGACGCAGAGACGACTTTGGACGCACCGATGGTGACCGCGGGGACCCCTGGATCGCCAGTTCTAGGTCTGGGGCGGGAGCGGCCAGGTGGGCTGCGCGCCTGTGAAATGCGCCCAGCGGATGCGCGGGCCTAGGCACGGCCCACACCCCACCCCACCCCCCGGCTCCAGCCCAGCTCCACCCTCCCTCGCTCCTTCTATCCTCCCGTCTGCTAGGAGAGGTCCGGGCCGCGCCCCTTTCTCTGGGACCCGGACTCGAAGCCCGCCCCGCCCAGTCCCCAGCGGTGCCCGGTGCGGTAGGAAGGTCGCTGTTGGCTCTGGCGCAGCGCGGACCCCTCACAGCGAGGAGAATCGCCGCCCCGCCCCAGCCCATTCAGCCAGCCGCGGGCGCCGGGTTCCCACCGGCACAAAGCGCGCCGGGCCCCGCCCCGCCGGGAGACTCCAGGCCCGCCCCCACCGAGACCCCCACCCCCTTCGCACGCACTGCGGCCCTATCTGCGCCCCAAGAAACTCCCTCTCCGCAGTGCCCAGCTTCCCGGGCCCCAGGGGCGCCGCTCTCAGGCTCCGCCCCAGTCCTAGGGGAGACCCCGGCGTCTCCGTGGGGACAGCACCGCTTTCACTCTGCTAAGACACAGACCCGCATCCTGGGCCCGGACCCCAGAGCCCGTGCCCGCGACCCTCGACGGTGCCGGAGCGCCCCGCGCCCGATGCACGGAACACGTTGCTTCGCTCGGACTTTGGGTGGGATCGATCGAGTTGGCTTCTCTTCCCCTGGGCTTCTAGCGAGGGCCCCAAGTGGTGGGGTCTGAGGTTGCGGCACCTCCTCCCACCAGGTTGTAACTCAGAATAAAGGGCGAACATGAGACGTGGGTGCGAGGCCACGAAGGTTCTAATTTCTTCCACGATGCCTACTCACGTGCGCGTTTTTGAACTACAGCTATCAATTTTCTATAGGTGGTTTTGCTTTCCAGTGCCGTGGATTTGAACACAGGGCCTTCACAGTGTTACATCCCAGTCCTTTTAAATAAATTTTTGTTCGAGATAGGATCTCGCCAGATTGCCCTGGTTGGGCTCGGACTTGCTGCGATTCTCCTGATTCAGCCTCCCAGACTGCTGGAATTACAAGCGTGCTCTACTACGCCTGGCTCAGGAGCATTTCCTTTTGGGGCTGCTCCAGCCTTGCCCCTGCCCTAAACGCGTGCTGGTCGGATCGCGAGGAAAAGGACCCACCGTGCCTCGGTGGCCCGGCTCCCTCACGCCCCCGCGCGGGCCCTCTGTAGCGAGGACCCAGCTGTGACCGGCTCAGAGCGGACGCTCCAGGGTGGGTGGCAGAAAAGCCGGGAGGAGTTTCTCTCCTGGCCAGCAGGTGGCGGCTTCACACCGCAGAGCCAAAGGGGCGGTCTAGGAATTGCAGCTCGGGTCTGAGTCGCGCTAACCTGCATTGCTGCCTAAACTAACCTCTCCGCTACTGGCCAGGGGCTGAGGGTGCAACACGGACGGCCTTTGCGCTGACAGGCGGGCTTCGGTGCCCACCCGCTGCTCCGAGTCCGGCTCGCTCCCTGGGTAGGGGTGGGTCGCTTGTCTGGAGAAAAGTGAGATCAGGCCCAAGAAATGGCCCAGTACCAAAGGAGCTCAGTTCGAGGGAGGCATACTTGGGGCACCCAGCCAGCACCCCCCGCGCCCCCTTTAGGTTCCAGAAGAGTGTTTCCCCAGAAGCAGCCTCAGAATGCCAGGTGCAAATCGTAAGGAAGTTTTTATCGGGTGCTGTACAGAGAAATGCTAGGTTGTCAAAAAGCTACAAACGGATCCCTGGCTTTGGGATGGGTGTAGGGTGTAGACCGAGTTCCCCCCAAGAAAGTCCCCAGCTAAGCGCTTTACAAATAGGCCTGGAGACTGGACAAAGTGTGGGAGAGTCCCTGGCTGTCCCCTAAATCCTGTTAAAACCAGGGCTGGAGTGATTTGGGGGAACAGTGTCCCCCCGCAAGTATTGCCTGGGACATCAAGTACACAAAGTGAAAACTCACGGTGACAAATTGGCCAGTTTGGGAGCGGAGGTCAGTGGCCAGCTGGTGGCTGACAGGCTGGTCATCAAAGGCACAGCGGCCAGAGGCGGCCCCTCCCTTGCCGGGACTGGACCCCTGCCTGCTTGCCCATGGCCAGCTCAGCCCCCAGGGACCCTGCAGAAGCTTGGCTTCCTCCGGAACTTGAGGAGAGTACATGGGCCTGGCCACAGAGGGCGGAGGGAGTGGACACAGGGTGGCTCTGTGCTGCTCTTGAGACTGACTCCAGCTCACCACGTGAAGGGGCCACTGCACCGTGTCTGCGGGGCTTCTCCATCGTGACGTCACAGCTACTCCTGGGCCTCTCCTTTGCCTGGGAAGACCCAGGCCCATGGCAGAGCCCAGGCCTGCAACAGGTCTGCCCAAGGGGGACAGTTGTCCCGCAGGGGAGGCAGGTGGTCCTTGCCAGGGGCCAGGACTGCATGGGTGGGGAGTGTGGGTGGGAGCAGACACTGATGTTAAGGAGGCCCACTGCCTTCATGGTGGGGGCCAGAGAGGTGACCACCGTGCTGGGGGACAGGCATGGATGGTGGGCAGTAAACACGGAGTCACTGATAACGGTCAGGACGGTGCCACGGGTGAGGCTGCATACGTGTTGTGCTAAGCTGGGGTGGAGTGTGAGTCCCCAAGGGGGCAAGGGACACTGAATAGGGGCCACATGCTGTAGAACGACCTTCACGAGGGACCCCAAAAGGGCCTCAGAATAACTTTCACACCTGGTCCACTCAGTGGCCAGCATACATGGACCAGGAGGCTTCTTCCAACAGCCCTGAGATAACATGTCACCTGCTCATCACAGATGGGGAAACTGAGGCAGAGCAGGTCCCAGGCCTGAAGACCTGCTCAGAGAGCATGTTTGGGCTCTGAAGACCCCTGTGCTTAAAAGGAACTCCCTGAACCCTATGCCCCTGGGTGTGGCACTGCAGGTTGGAGAGCTGCGCGAAGTCCAGCGGCTTCTAGCTCCAGGTGGAGTTTGTTCTGATGATGGCCCTGTCCCAAGCTCTGCTGCACCCGGGCCCAGCTGCGGAGGGCGCAGTGCCAAGGCCAGCCTCCCCCTGCCTAGGACATGCCATGCCCAACTGGTTCGTGCCTAGGGTGGTCCTCTAGGGCCGGCATCATCCCTCTATGAAACAGCAGCAGGAAGGAACCAAGTGAGCCGCCGAGGCCCCTGCTTCCTTACGCCCGGGTCGGGAGGTACATTTTTGCGCGCAGTACGCGGGACAGAGGGGGCATCTTTGATTCTGTGGTTCCTGTGGACGGCATGGCGACTGCACGCTAGGACGCAGAGCCCAGCGAGTCTGAGTGCAGCGTGACGTAGCCCGACGATTCAGAGGGCGAGCTCAGGAAGCTGCTGGTGCTGCCGCCAGTGACCGCCTCGTGCAGGCCTCTGGGCTCGCCCCACGACGCGCTCAGGTCGGCCTGCAACGGCCCGAAGTGCGCACGCGCGGATCTGTGC